TTGTGCTCTTACGCGATTCCCAACGGTTGGATGATATTTGTGTTCATCGAGAAATCCACCACGTCACTTGGAAATGTTCAAAGTAAGTTCCTGGTATCATTATCTTTATTTTGTAACAGACGGAGACTTGAATGCCTGGTCACTACTCTGGTCGAGTAGCAGTATTATTATTGACTGGACAATGCAAATTATATTAAATTTATACCAATAAATTCTTACCAGGTAAATTTTATTTTTTATCACAGAAACAAATTTCTCGGGTACCTTTCGTCGAGCGTTCAAAAAATTCTTATCGCTCTGTCAACGAAATACGGAAGTTATTCCTGTACGGTACAGGAAGACGATAATTTACCGGTTTCTCGTTACGATCGGTTTTAAAATGGCGATCACCTTCTGACATTTACGATTGAATTTCTGCTCGAGCAGAAGGCCAGAGGACACCTTTCGGTGAATTCGCTTGTCACATTGTCCCGAATACAATATTCTAATCAGACTCAGATCATCCAATATCCAGTACACGAATATATCACCCGTGAATATACATTCCACATGAATTCTAATATATAAATCTATAATTCCCTTACTCGTCTGGAATGTTGTTTTCCACAGTAAAAGCATCCGTGACGAAATAACGATCATCACGAGGACGATCAGTCAGAATAAAAAGGAAGATCCCGAAGTCCTTTCAAAAATCATCTCGAATTTATGACTGGGCGAAAGTCATTCTTTACACGGAATAACACGATGAATGTCATTGAGTCATTATCGAGAAGCTATACCTGCAATATAATACTGATACTCGGTCTTATTATTTTGTATTCTCTTTGAATCTAATAATTTTTTTTACTACCTCGTCACGTACAATTCCTAGATACATTGTATCGCGAGGGTCAAAGGTCACCATGTCCGCTTTAAAATTCCCTCACACGCAATTCTTGTCCGTATCTCTCTAAGGAACCGAGACTATAGATATATCGACATTATTTTGATACAAGGGGCGATTATGAATTACATAAGAATCTTGTATCACAGCCCAGCTGCTTTCTCTGTTTGACCTCGATATATGCTTGATGAAACCTCGATTCCAAGTGAACGCACCAGATGGCTAGAAATTACATACAACAAGTACCCAACTTGACTTGTGTATTATTTCGCCAATCCCTTCGCCAAACCCCTTCTATGATTCAATACGATTGTTTTAGAAAAAAGTCTTGGACTATCAATTTCAATAAATTAGATGTACGACCTGGTTAATCGATAACGTCATTTACATATTTTGAACAAGGATGACAAGTATTGAATTTATTTTCCATTTTTTTTTCGCATTTATTAAATTTCAGTCTATTTAATTTGGCTGTTCTCAAGAATCAACAACAATAGACAGTCGAGGATTTATGACGAAACGTCGTATTTTCATCGTACATGTAGTCTACTAGCGGCCATTGTTCCTTTGACACTTCTCTCAGTCACTCGTATCCCATTGTGCATATAGGTATAGTTATCCCCCACGTGCCTTCGGGGTTGTGACTAATCAAATTAACATAAACTTGCGAAATGCATTCCACGCTGAGTCCTAGAAGGACGTCGGTTCTCCATTTTACTTTTACTCGCTAGTCCCTTTTGTAACGTGAAGTCAGTCGAGTGTGGGATATCGAAAATAATGATGATCGAAACTGTACTCGAAATCGAGATAGAGTCGAACATGTCAGACTTCAGGGAGTACTAAATATATTATGAACGTCAATGAATAGATCATCGGTTGAGTAATCCTTGTATATATATGTATATTTATTATTTTATATGGTATAAGGATCACGTGGAAGTTTATATAATAAAAATGGCATCGTTCATAAATATTGTTTATCAATGAATTATTTACTACCAGGATCCAACTGACTTTGGTATTAAAAGTCACTTTCGATTATGTTCACTCCAAGAAGAGGTGCGCGCGCAGCTCCTGACGGCAGTTAAAATGCGATTGTAGACACAGGACGGTACTTCCGTTATTTTGAAACTGTAGTGCAATATGGGTACAGGAGTAATGGGAACCATAAGGGTATACGGATAGCATCGGCAGACGACCATACCGTGAATGGTCGCAGGAAGCGGACAGCTGAGGCATTTCTATGTCAGCGACTGTCTTCCTTGAGAATGCGCACGATGACCCGCGTCAAACTCGTCCACGTCTACGTTCACGTCCATCCTAAGACCGAATCGCAGTCACGCACGATTTCGCGATACACCCGGCCCGTTATTTCGAACCAAAACTGAGCTATTAACGCGACGTGTAGTTTTTGTCGTTACATGAAGATCGCCAAATCCTAATACTTATCGCTGGCTCCTTATTTTCTTTGGTTAGAAACGAGCCTTTAAAAAACTTTTTATTTTACTATTGTCACTTCTGATAGGTACTTATTGTATACGGGAAACATTTTCTTTTTATTAATATATTATTACGTAGGGAATAACGTATGGGTCAAGCCGGGTTTTCATGAATTTTTTTTCTTTTCTGTTTCAGTCGCGCTGAAGTCGCGATAACTTTGAGGACAAAATGAAGGCAGTTTTGAAACATCGAACGATTTAACGCACCGTCATCATGTACAACGAGTGGGAGAAGGTAAGAAAGAATTTTTGGATAGAAATAATTTTTTTTTTTTTTTAAAAAAGTTTATCAAATTAATTCTCCTCAAGATGAGTTTCTATGTACTCAAGTAGTTACTAGGGTCGCTAAGGTCTCTAGCGGAATATCCCTATGCTATGTATACATATATGTATAATATTATACACACATTCTCTTCGCAAATGGAATTCGAATGGTCGCTACATGTGTATATGCCCAAGAGCAGCTACGTGTGGTTAGAGTCAATGATCTGTGCACGGTGAAGAGTCGCTTCGTGTATATACTGCACGTTGCCCACTTTCCAATGACGCGACGGCTACGACTTGCCGCTCCAGTGTGAGTCGTCGCCACGATCCGGGATGAAATCTTGACGCTTCTGTGGAAACTGCATCTCCGTGTCCTTGGGATATATTATACCCACTGTGGAATGGAATTCCGTGTTCTCCAAGATGGCGGACAATTATGGTCATTGGACATAATGGCATAGTAAATTCTCTATGTAAATTTTTATTGCTGAATATTATTATTATTAAAGAAAATATATTTCCCAGTGTCAATGACCCCCCCCCTCTCTCTCTTGATACTTGGGGGGGTGGGGAAAGACAAATTTTTTTGGTTAAGTTCCTTATGGCTGTGTTGAATTCTTGTCTTTTTAATTTTTCTTTCTTTTTTAACAACGTCATAAAAATTATTTCTCGATACATATGTGAACACATATGTGTATCGCACGTGTCTATGTACTCAGCCACGTATCGTGTACGTAATTTATATAAGAAGTAAGAAAGCACGCTTGGTTCCACCCCAAAGCACTTTAATCCATTGGCGCCTCCCGGTTGGATCATTTGAAGAAAATTGCATTTTATCTTTAATTAATTTTTACAAATATTTTGTATACTTTTTTTGCATGGAGATAAAAAATTTTTTTCTTCACTACCGTAAAATCTTAAGTGCATAGGTATACGATTATATTTGAAATTTGTCTTATTTTATTAATATTGATGAAAGTAGGCCAAAACACTAGGCTGGTAATTAGGGATATGTATTAGAGAAAAACACGCCAATGCGTGCAGGTAGCAATTGTTGCGAACAAGAACTGGTAGTTTAGTGCCGCATCGAACATCCTCGCATTCGGATCAGGTTCCGCCATTTTTTTTCTGAAAAATTTATTTAAGAAAAAAAAAAGTGAAACTTGTGTAGAAAAATGATTAATCCGTCTAAAGACAGTGAGGACTATAACCTGTATTTTGGATATGGGAAAATTGTATAGGATTTGTAATTTTATAGTGATTGATAACTGACGACTGTTTTTGTACTAATTATGGAAATTGCATGACTCAAAAAAAAAGGAAAGGATCATTCGTGACCTAAGCAGTCAGTAAATCCTTGATTTTCTCGGTTAGCTATTATCGTTGAAATCAGTGTCTGCAGTCATTCGGTAGGTGTCACGACCAGTTACCGTTATTGAATGGTACGTGACTCGAATGTAGCTACGCGTACGTAGATATTCAAGTAAGACTTGCGTGACCTATTGAACGCATTGGGTGACCCCTTAAATTTGTGTAAAAGAAGTAAAAATGCAATTTCCAGTAAAATTTGAATTTTTCATTCAAACGAATAAAAATGATTTTTAACTACCGAACGTGATCCTTAAAATAAATTTGAGTACGATTGATCTTGGATCCATATGTCAAGATCTTTGACAATGGCAAAAAATCCGAGTATAAAAAATTTTGTATGTCATAAACAAAATTAATAAAAAAAAAAATGAATTTTAATGAAAAATCAAAAAATTCCTCGTTATCGAAAAAAGATCGTAGCGTGGAATCTGGGCGGATTAAAAAGCGGATGGAAAATCGCTTAATGAAAACGGCGGATGTGATTTACGTGAACGGTGAACAGTTAGGTGGGCGACGCGCGTTGCATAATTCTGCTGACCTAGACCCACATTCAAATTCTGCCCCGAATTCCGATATAATAGAGAATGATGTCCGAGGGCCTTACTACGGGCCAGAATACGTAAGCAGTAAGGCCCAAAAAGTGAATAAGGAAGTCGAGAATAAAATAGGTCTAGAAGGTCTATACGCTGTTCCCAAAGTATCGTCCGTGTCCCGGAAGGAGATTCTGAAGAGATCAGAAATTCGTGAGCGCATCCTGGTGAATTTGCCCAGTGAAAATAAGGATGCATCGCGTGACGCCAAGTGCATCGGTACCGAGGCGGATCTCGCTGTTTACGGAAGACCTAGTACGCTTCCTAGTGCCCGAGCTAAAACGAAAAATAACTTGGAGCGATACCGTAATCAGCAGCCCAGTGGTACCAGAAGGTTCTCGGTGGAAGAGGATACCCGGAAGTCGTTGGATTTGGAGGTACCAGGATATGCCGTGATCAGAAGAATAAATCGCGTGGTCCAGGATGATCCTGGTACCAGGTTGGACGCAAGAGGGACCCCTGAAAATTCTAATGGTAGCTCATCCAGCTATGGCGGCGCAAGGACTTCCGGGAGTCTCTTGAGGAAGGTTCCAGGTCAGAGGAGCTCGAGGACTCTGGGTAGGGGCAAGGAGCTGCCGAACGACACGAAAAGACATACGGACGCGATGGTCTCCGATTTTCTCCCAGTTTCGGGAGAGCGTCGAGACGCGAGACGTCTTTCGAGACCGTCGACTTTACCGAAAGCTGTGACCAGGGTCGACCTGGTCCAACGTGCTGCCAAGTTCAGTAAGGATCCGGCGGGTAGGGAAAGTCCGATCTATGGGAGGATTCGTAGAGGAGTGATTGGACCAGTGATCGAGGAAGATCAGTATCGATCGGGATCGATCTTCAGGACGCGTCGGACCAATTCTTTGCCGAATAACGATATGACTGTGGGTGGTAGAAGAGGTGGTTATGGGAGAGTATTGCGGAGGAGTTCGAAATCATCTGCTATTGATGATGAGATTAGATCATTGGTCCAGGATCAGGGAAGCTATGCTGTAAATCAATATAGATCGATACCAGTCTCCCGACGGAGGATTATTGAGAATATTAAAAGTGACGAATTCAAATGTCAAAGAGGGGGCAACGATAAATTTGATAATGATAAAGGATCTATCGTTATGGGTAGATCCTCTAGATCTCCTTACGAACCTCATTACGCGAGACTTGACTTGGACATGGGAGGGTCCGGTATCTATGCTCGTCCCATGAGAAGAAAAAGTGTGGCTGAGACTAGAAATCTACAGAGTTTAGAGATCGATAGATCTGTGAGAGATCGATCGGTCGAGATTCATAAGAAGCATGTCGCACAATCGGATAGACACCGATCTATGGAGAAAGATCGATCTGCTGGCTCGATTTTGGAAAGTGATAAAAATTTTTTTAAATCCAGACAAAATAAATATTTTGATACTCGATCGGTTTCAAAATGTCAATCGGAACGCACCCTTACGCGCGTAGGTAAATCGGAAATCTTTGATACCGGAAATACGAGCGTCGACAAGCGACTTCCGGTATCACCATCTACCTTACCAGCAATATCGCAACGACACACTTCCTCGCGGACCGGAAGTCACCTCAAGAAAATGGAAACGAAGAGTTTGGAGCGACAGAAAATATTTTCGATGGTTCCAAAAGTGACTTCGAAAACTCCAAAAGAAAAATTAAATTTTGTCAAAAAATCGGTTACTTCCCATTTACGAGCTTTGAGCGATGCCCACAGCATCCGCTCCGTGTCTCCCGCTCCGGCATCTTCGATTTTTGGTTTTTGTACCGGTCGAAGGAAAACTGTCAAAATTCCAACCAGAATCGCAAATCCGGTTCCTTACAAAGGATGGATTAAAAAGACGGTGCGCAAAAAAATGTAGTCCTATCCCACATTATTAATAACAACAATAATAATAATTTATTTTAAGCAACAATATCGGCAATAATTTTTAAAAATTTTATTTTTTTTTCACAGGGTGAACTAGTGTGGTTCGACCCGGGCGTCGGTCACGTGTTACCAGGAGAAGTCCTGGAATATCATAAAGCAGCCAATGTCCTTTCCGTCCAGGCAGTAATAGCAGGAAAGGTAAGAAAACGCAAAAAAAAGAGAAAGAAAAGCCAGCATTAATCATAGCAATTAAAAGACACGGTTCGATAGAATAGAAAGCACTGAAACTACCTGAAACAGCTACAACAGTACAAAAATACCGTTGTTATTACCGCAGCCTGAAACATAACCTATTACACGGCGTTTCCTTAACCCGACGTTAATTTCAACAACGCTGCAATCGATAATTTATTGATTCTATAAGTTTCATGAATTATTATTATTTTTCAAAATTATCAGCAACAAGAATTACATACAAAACTTTACGGTCGTTACGGTATGTTTACAACGGTAGCTATATATATACCTAACCCTGATTATCAATAGTGAACGTCAATACATGCGTCGCGACGCTCCTCTATAACGGATTATGAAAAACCAATAAGCGTCGTTTCTTGAATCTAGAAAGTTCACTATAATACTGAATTATTGGAATTCCATGAATATTTCAGAGATCATACGTCACTTCCGTGAAAGTGTTCATTGGCTATGTAATATGGCGACTTGTATTGGCACTATATAGGTATATATAGTATGTGTTAGGAAAACTTCGCTATGAAAATACATTGAAAGATAGTAAACTATCAATTTACAGAAATTACTATAGAATTACTTCTATAGTGTAGATTTTCTATTAATATGATATAGATCATTTACGTCGCTGATAGATCAGATCAATGATCTTTAATCTGTTTGATTATCCGCATTGCTTATTATTAACAAAAATTTTACACACTGTATACGTCTGTATACAGCAAAAAATTGAGTCGTAACTCGTGCAGTGTCTCGTTATAGATGACACTGCACAGTGGCATAGAGTTTGAAAAATGGAATAATAAAAAATAGCAAGATAGGATAAAAGCAGTGAAAAAGAGCAAAAAGTAATTTGAATCTTGGTATAAAAAATGTTCACAAAATTTGTTATCGCGCTCAAATTATACATGCTTTTTTTTGGATTTAAAAAATTTTTTGGTACCTAGTAAAAAAAACTTGATAACCACGCCACTGTATACCCAAGTGCAAACTCAGATCAGCCGGTGTCCGATAAAATCGGCTCGAGAGTCAAGAGAAGTCTGTCGAGTAGTGAAGGCCAAGAATAAATAATTTGAGAATACCAAGGTGTTCGTAAAATCAAGAATGAAAAATAATAATAAATAGCGGTCACGCGACTGGTTTTTAAAAATATCATTGAAAGCTGAAAATCATGAAATCCAGTGACGTAGAACCTCTGTACGATGTCCCGTATGCGGTAACAAGAAATGACGTAACGATCGATGAACAATCAAAGAGAAGTCAAAATCAAGAAAAAGAAGATCGAAAAATCACAAACGCTCGATCCACGTTCGATCTTCCAGTTATTGGGAAATCACAGCCAGTTTATAGTATATATGATGAAATTAGTACCGGACTACCGGACTATCTGGTTCGTGTAACACGAAAAGGAAGATCATCGTCGTCATCGTCATTAACGAATACCGATTCAATCTACTCGAGAAATTCGTACGGTGCTCGTTTTATGGAAGTTGACGATTTTAATGATAAAAAAATATGTCGCTGTGCGCCGAAACAGGATTTCGTCGAATGGCATTACAAAAGTACGTTGTCGGTTCTGAAAGGACTTAAAGGATTTTCATCGTCGTCGACTGCGAGTGACGTCGAGACTATCGATGACTCGTTCGACGAATCGATTATATTGGATTCGGAAAGTGACAGCAGTACTTACTCAAGGAGACAGGGAACGGTTGACAGGAGGAAGAAGAGCGATGAAATAATAAAGTGGAGGACGAGTAAGAAGTCTGTGGAAAAATTGTCGTATATTTGTATGTTGGTGATAATGAAAAATGTAATGAAAAAAATTGTATATCTTTTAGAAGAGAAATAATTGGAATTCTTTGATGTCGATTAATTGGATTTATATTTTTGAAACTTTTAAATTCGTTTTTTTTCTTTACAGCCACAAATTTTTACTCTCACTAATCTCAGTGGAGTCAAGCCCAGGCAGGATTTGGGACAAAATGGTGTGGAGGATATGATACAGTTATCGTGAGTTTTGTGAATTGTTTGTAAAAGTTGAAAATTATAGTGAAAATTTGTATTGATTTTGGATTATGTTTCAGGGACCTGAACGAAGCTTCTTTATTATGGAACTTGAAGATTCGATACGACAAGGAGCTAATTTATGTGAGTGGATAGAAATTTTAATTTATGATTTTTTTATTGAAAATTGTTTAATATTGCAGACCTACACAGGAAGTATCCTAGTAGCTGTCAATCCGTACAAGATGTTTGATATTTATGGTCTGGACCAAGTGAAGCTGTACGAAGGAAGAATCCTTGGCACGTTACCTCCGTAGGTTAATTTGGATTTTAATATTTTTTTTTTTTTTTTTTTTTTTCAAGGGTAACAGAATGTTAACTAATATCTGTATAATTCCACAGCCACCTCTTCGCTGTGGGTTCTTCAGCTTACAGTCAGGTGTCAGCAGCCAACAATTCCAGTGCTAATCAAGTGGTGGTAATATCCGGTGAATCCGGATCAGGAAAAACGGAATCGACCAAGTTGGTGATGCAATATTTAGCAGCAGTAAACAGAGCACCCAGCAATCTGGTAACGGAGCAGATCTTAGAAGCAGCGCCGTTGCTGGAAAGTTTTGGCAACGCGAAGACACCCAGGAACGACAACAGTAGTCGTTTTGGAAAATACCTAGAGGTTCACTTCCGGGAGTAAGTATAAGAAAGAAAATTTTAAACTTCAGATTCCTTAACCTTCTTCAATTTTATCAGTGGCGTCATCGTTGGAGGTCGTGTGACTCAGTACCTTCTGGAGAAGAGCCGAATTGTCACTCAAGCCTCGGAGGAAAGGAACTACCACGTCTTCTATGAGCTACTGGCAGGACTCGATCAGCAATTCAGAGATAAATATGGCCTGCTGACCCCGGACAAGTATTTTTATCTGAATCAGGGTGGCAGCTGCGAGATTGATGGGAAAAACGATACTCAGGATTTTAAGGCGTTGCTGTCAGCAATGCAGGTCCTGGGATTCTCATCTGATGAACAAGACACCATCTTCAAGATCCTTGGTAGCGTTCTTCATCTGGGCAACGTTTACTTCCACCGGAAGCAGACCAGACATGGTCAGGAAGGCGTCGAAGTTGGTTCGGATGCTGAAATACGCTGGGCTGCTCATCTTCTTCAGGTCAATGCTGATGGCATCATCAGGGCACTGACTACTAAGACTACCGAGGCTAGAAACGAAAGAGTTTTCACGCCATTAAATATCGATCAGGCACTGGACGCTAGAGATGCCTTTGCTAAGGCCCTTTATAGCTCCTTGTTCTCTTGGCTTGTTGCTAGAGTCAATCATATTGTTTATAAGGGAACAAAGCAGACGGCTGCCATTTCTATTCTTGATATATTTGGCTTTGAGAATTTTACTGAGAACAGCTTTGAACAACTTTGTATTAATTATGCCAATGAGAATCTGCATTTTTATTTTAACAAGCATATATTCAAGTTGGAACAACAGGAATATGCTAAAGAGAAGATCGATTGGACCACTATTAATTATACTGTGAGTATTAGATGAATTGAATTTTTGATGATTTTTGAAAATTATTATTTTTTTTTTTTTTTCATTTAGGATAATCTTCCTGTTATTCATCTCATTGCGAAAAAACCAGTTGGCATTTTACACTTGTTGGATGACGAAAGCAATTTTCCAAAAGCATCGGATCTATCTTTTTTGGAAAAGTGTCATTATAATCATGCTCTAAGTGAATTGTACTCTAGGCCTAGAATGAATTCTGCGGAATTTGCCATTAAACACTATGCTGGACAAGTTTGGTACAATGTGGATGGGTTTTTGGATAAAAACCGAGACACTTTGAGACCGGACGTAGTGGAGTTGCTGATAAGCAGTAAAATTTCCGTAAGAAATTTTCCAACGAATCTTGTCCAATGTCTAATTTTCAAAATTTTCAAAATATTACTTTATTATAGATGGTCAGTAAAATGTTCCAACACGTAAGAACAACTCACGAGGCAAATAAAACTGTGAACAAACCAAACGGAAGATTCGTCACCATGAAACCAAGGACGCCAACGGTCTCAGCAAGATTTCACGACAGTCTCCAGCAATTGTTGGATTCAATGACTCAGTAAGAAAATCCTCCAACAAACTCCTCTTTAAAACTACTCGAAAAATAATTATCAAAATTCATCATCTCAGATGCAATCCGTGGTTCGTACGCTGCATAAAGCCCAACACAGAAAAAGCACCAATGAAATTCGACATGCCATGCGTCCTGGAGCAATTACGTTACACAGGGATGCTGGAGACTATAAGAATTCGTAAAACCGGATATCCGGTTCGACTGGTCTTCGCTCACTTCGTAGATCGTTATCGATACTTGGTACCAAACAATCTACCACGTGGTGCACCAAACAAAGAGCTCTGTAGAATGATCTTAGACAAGGCTGCACCTCAGGATTCACAGTCTCAATATCAGTTAGGTCTGACCAGGGTATTCCTGAGGGAATCCCTGGAGAGGACTCTGGAGTACAATCGTGCTTTGATTCTGGAGAGAGCAGCAATAACAGTGCAGAGGTACCAGAAATTTCTATTTAGCAATACAAAAAACGGCGCTTGATATATTTATTACAATTTTGAAAAACTTTTCTTCACTCTTTTCAAAATTAGGTACACTCGTGGATTTTTGGCCAGAAGGCAATTCCTGAACGTCTCACGAAGTACCGTGCTACTTCAGGCAGTGTACCGAGGTTATCGCGAGAGACAGAAGTTCAGGGCCCTGAAACGGGGAGTGATAATGGCCCAGAAATTGTATAGAGGCAAAAGGGACCGTGAGAAGTTTGAAATACTCAAGGAAGAAATGGCGAAAAGGGCAGAGATCGAGAAGGCCAGTAGAGAAAGGGCGAAGGCCAAACAACAGCGAGAGGAACAGGAAAGAGCATCGAGAGCTGTTGCTGGTGTCAATCATCTGGAAATACCAGCAGAGCTTGCTTTTATCTATTCCAAATTAGACGGTGTGTTATCATTATTTTGTATAAAGAAATTCCAGGTCATATCATCAATACAAATATTCTATTTTTAGATTGGCAGCCAACCCACACTGAAAGAAATTTACTTAAAGTCGTTGGCTCAGTGGTACCACTGCCGCACAATTACACACTACCCTCTGATGTGGACCAGCATCAATTTTCAAAATTTACCAATATCTACTTCAAAAGCCATATTTTTGGTATGAAACGAGAACCAATCAAGACTCCATTCCTGGCGAAGGCACGTGATCAAGATTACACAGACTCCCTGATGATTTTCAAAATGATCTTGCGCTTTATGAACGAGAACAATCTCAGTGGCAAAAGGGAACAGGCGCTAGGAGATTACATAGTAAACAAGGGAATAGTCAATGAAAAATTAAGAGACGAAATTATCTGTCAATTAGCTAATCAAACTTGGAAAAATGATAACGATGCTAATAAAGAACGTGGTTGGTTGTTGCTGGCGAATTGTTTGTCAGCTTTTCAACCCAGCAACACGCTCTTCAAGTACCTCTTAAAGTGAGTCTCCAGAAATCTCTATGAACAAACGATTTTTAATATACGTTACACTTTTTTTTTATTCAATTTTTTTTTTCAACAGGTACGTCTCTGATCATGCCTATGATGGCTACAAGGCATACTGCCAGCGAAAATTACTTCAAGGCGAAAGAACAGTCCTCCGTGTGATGAACAACAATCAGCCAACGATTTATCAAGTCCCTAGGAATTATCCGCCTTGCGTGCTGGAATGGCGTGCAAACCGTAACCGTGTGAACATGGCTTTGGCTGTAGGATTTTACGATGGTAAATATCTACGGTCTTGATGGATTCTGTCATGCTACCAGCTATAGACATGCGTATGAAAATTTATATGTGGTTGATACGTGATGAATTTTAATATCAGGTGAGACAATAACGTGCGCCGTTGATTCTTGGACTACGTGTGAAGAACTTGCTGATTTAGCTGTGCAAAATCACGGCGTTGATAATTCCGGTTGGACGATTACATTGTGGAACCAGTTGGATGGTCCAGATGCAATTGTAACGGAGACTAATGGTTTTGATTATATTCTGGATTTAATCTCTGAGATGGAATTGGCACCAGCTTTTCCAGCTGCGAAGCATATGTTCTTGGAACAACGTAAAAACAGTTTTCCACCAATCAAAAAGCGAGAGGTATATGTTTTAATTTTTCCTTCGTTTATTCACTACATGTCAATTTGATGGAATATTGATTGTTTTCGTTAATTATAATTTTTTAGCACGCACAAGTAATTCGTGAATTGGAACAAGAACTGGAACCACCTGTCTTGAAGACTTTCCAGCCCCTAGAAAGAAAATCTGTACCAAAAGTCGTGGAAAAGGCTGTGGAGATAGAAATACAGTCACCTAGACGTCCAGCTGTTCCACCGCCGCAACCACCAGTTGCCAAACCATCAGCTAGAAAACAATCGCACGAGGCTGTTTTGGAACCCGCTGAAACTGGACTGTCAAGAAAATCAGCCCTTAATGATAGATACTTCGAAAAGGAGAAGCAGCGCAGTAGAAGCCTAGACAATCTTCTTCAATCGGAAGTAGCAACAGCACCCAGCAAGCTCACCAACCTAGGCTTGTCGTCGTCAAAATTAAACGAGCGTTATCACAGTCTAGAACGAATAGGTGAGACCTCAGCCGTCAGCAACGCGGAGTACATGACAAGATCAGAAATGATCCAGGAACGAAAATACAGTCGAATAACAAGAACAACAGAACCGAATATCCTCGAAGAAGAAGACTTGACTATCGATTTTGAATATCCCGATATCCAATCAGTCAGTCAAGCTGGAAGATCTGAAGATGACAAAAATAGCTACATAAGGTCACAGACCAGGTTCATCAAGTCCCAGTATCCAGGTAAGTCATTGAATCATCAATGCGTTATTTCAAATAGAGAATGACAATGATAAAATTTCTTTTTAAAGGTAAAAGAGCTTTACCAGGTAGCCAATCAAGTCGAGCATATATAGAAAAGAGTGAATATGGCGTAAAGTCATCAGCAATGTCAGATACGAGCGAAGCGCCATCTTTAGCTTCGCATGTGCGACGCGTCCGCGTCCCTAGTCAAGCATCGGACGTGGACCAATTTCTGGATGAACTGTTCATGCCGGTGCTGGATGGAAATCTGGATGAGCTTTCGGACGCAAGAAGTTTGGCAGCAAGTATAAAGGGCACTAGCGATGAAAAGAGTTCAGCAACGAAGCAAAAGTCTGAAACATTTGGAGATTTCTTGAATTGCGTAACCAGAGATCCGTCGCTGGATACTCAGACAGTACTGACCCCTGATGAACTATCGGTACGAATAAAGGGTGGGGGTAATATGGATATTCCGAATCAAAATGCTGCATTCAACTTCAATCCTCTGGCACCGGGTATGATGTCACCGCCGATGATGATGCCCATGTTCAGTCCAGCTCAGGCTGTGGCAACACCGCAGAATCCAACTGGCGTAAACATGGGTCCAGGATTTATGCCAATACCTATCTATAACATGCAAGGTCTCAGTTTACCCCAGTATCCAAATTCGCCACCGAATCAGAGCAACGACATGACGGCTTATCAGCAGAATTTACAAAGAGCATTTCTTCAGAGCGCGATGGCTCAAAATATCCAGATTCAGCAACAGTTGCTGGCCCAGAATCAGGCCCTGCAGCAGTTGCTGGTTCAAAGTCCGCAAAATGCGGCCCAGCAACCGGTGAGTAAAGAAATTGCTACAGTTAAAAAAAAAAGTCGCGTAACACCTTGTGGATAAATCAACTAAATTTGTACAGAGTGTAAAAAAAAAGAAAAATGTCTTTTTTTTCTTAATTCTTCGTTCTATAACCCCTTTACTGGATCGGAGATGGTATTTTTTATGTTCAAGCACATGTAAAATATTGCATTGCCCTCTTTTTTTTTGGATGCACGACTCAAAGCACCTTGATAGAGAAGATGAAGATAAGGCATGAAAACGATAAGAAGATTTGAAACATACATACATAGTGATAGAGCGATTACTCAGATTCTCAAATTTTCAAATTCGATAATCCCACAGCGTTACTGTCTCTCTTAACTCGACCATAACGAATACTAACTCGTCGATCACGCCGATAACTCAAATTACTAGCATCTCATTAGCGATAACTCTTAATAAAGGCGTCAAAGGCTGCCACCTAATGGCGTCTCTATGGGTTTCTGAGCCGTGTTTTGCGGCATGGGTGTGTGTTTCCAGGGCATGGTGTACCCCGCGGGCCCCTCCAGCATGAATCTAGTCCCCCCAGCCCCAAAAAATGAGGCCCAAATGGGGCCCAATGATTCTATCGGACGCTACTCGAAGGTACCTATCGTTTTCATCTAGCTCTCTATGCACTAGCTTCCACATCCCTGCGGCTTCCTCGAACTCGAGGATAACCCAGATGACGTCTGAGCCCCCCTGCGTTGCTTGTTTTTTTTTTAATTTTTTGCTACTCCGTGAGGTGACACGCAACCGGCAAAAGTTCCGATAAATGTATATTTTCACCTGTCAGTTGGTACCCTGATGTAGATCGTAACCCGTTCCTTTCCCAGGTGTCTTTTCGTGAACCGGAAGACGGTGAGCTCTGGTCGACGGAAAAGCGTGCAATGCCGTCGCAATCGACGCCGATCAGTCAGCGCCAGGAGACCGTTACCGTTAAGGCCCAGGTGCATCGCTCACAGAGTCCACAGTCTAGAAAGAATTCGGACATTGCGCGCAAGATCAGCAACGACTACGGGCCGAGGAAAATCAGTGGGGAAGGCCGGAAGACTTCGGCTACTTCCGAAAACAAACGAACTGGTGGGAACAAAGGAAACGTTCAGAGCAACTTTACGAATGTTCTCAGTGAATTGAAGAATCGTAAAAGTAGTGTCGAGAGCAATCTGTCAAGTTCCAGCAATGGTAAGGGTGTTCCACCACCTCCACCACCGATGCCACCACCATTGGAGTCTCATGATCCATCCGAGTCGAGACCATTTTTGGATCCTTATGGAAGAGCTAAGACTGTCAGGATTGGAAAATGGAGGTGAGTTATGGTTTTTGGTATCTGAGCCAGCAATTGCTGATTTATTGATTTTTAAGAATTTTTTGAAAATGTTTAACCCTTGTTTCAGGTGGCCGCCACCGAGCGACTCGAACGAGGCTCAGAGTCAAGATAGTTTTATTGAGTTCAAGATGAGGCAGCAACAGCAACAGAGAAAGATAACACCGCAGTATCAGGAGTATCAGGTGGAGGCTGATCAAGCGATGGAAGGTGGCGTCGAGTGGGAGGAATTTGAAATAGAAAATATTGTGGGTAATGAGGAGAGGACTGGGGCCTCGGGTGGGTCTAGGCATGAAAATGGACACGGGAAAGAAGATGGTGACAAAAAGAAAAAGAAATCTAAGTAAGCTCTTTTCATTCGTGTCCATAAGATAGACTTTCACGATTATTCATTGATGAATCTTCATTTTTTTTTAGATCAGGATTTGAAATTGGCGCGCAAAGACCATCGCCCGGAAGTATAGGAAAGCTTAAGCTCAGTTCTGAGATGCGTCAGAGGCTGGAAAAGGTCACGGCCAATCACAGCGTTCGGTCTACCAAGACAACGGAAAAGCCAGCGCTGCCACGTGAAGACGGGAAAGTTAAGAGGCTCGAAGATAACCGGAAACTGTTGCTGGAGCAGCAACTAGGTCAAAAAAATTCTTGATCCTTATCATTTATCATTAACGACCAGTTCACAAAGAATATTTATTCTTCAGGCGGAAGATGGGACGATTACGCTTCAACGGCTGATGACGCACAAAGCGTCACTTCAAAAGGTACAACGGATATGATGACTCAGGCTCAAGTAGTCAGAAGTCAAATTGAAAGAATGGAACGACCTGTACCACCACCACCCCCAATAACACCACCCCAACCACCAAGTCCTAGAGGAGGCAGTATGTATAACCACAGGTAGGTGAATAAGTCATGAATTTTTTTAAATCCAAAAACATTAACCAAAATAAAAAAAATCTCAATTTTATCTTCAGCCAATCTGGAGTAGCACAGCCGCGCTCACCTCCCGCGCCAGTAGAACCGAAAACCCGTGAAACTTTCCGGACCTCCCCGGACTCGGACATGTTCGAGCACTTCCCAAAGAACCAGCGCGACATGTTCAGCCAAAGTCGAGACATATTTGCGTCCCAGCAGCATCTACGAGAGTCCCACGAGTTCAGGGCTGAGTATGAAAAATCGAGAAATCATCAGGAGAAGCTCAAAGACTTCTACGGGAAGGACAGTACAGACTTGGCAAGTTCGACCCGAGACAGAAGTTCAGACTTTGACTCCAGGAAGGATCTGAACTCTGACATCTTCGAGCCTAAATACTCCAGGGACGTCTTCGACAACGGTAACGTGAAGCGTGACGCCTTTGGCATGATGAGAGACGTCTCGCCAAAGTCAAGAGACAGCTTTGGGATGCCGTCGTCCAGAGACTTCGGTGTGGTACCAAACACAAGAGAGTCGTTCGCAGTGACGCGTCAAACGTACAAGAAGATGGACCGTGACCTTGACCGAAGATCCAGCGTGGCCTCGACCCATCAGACAGACAAGATGGAGAGGATCGAGATCGAGGAATGGCCTGAATTTTTGAGACCGGTTCTTCCGCCGCAGGAGAAACCGGAAATCGAAAAGGTCCAGGAGATCGTTGACACTAAGTTATATCCTCAAACCTCGACAGCTCATTTCACCTATAATCGTGTGACCTGGACCTTGAGAGTAAAAAAGGAAGTCTTTGCGCCAAATGAAAATCTCACGAGTCCCCTAGCCCTGCACCTCGTATTCTGTCAAGTGGCGTACGACGTCCTTGCGACCTCCAGTATCAGGATCACCAAGGAGGACAGGCAGAACATGTTAAAGATGCTGGACAATTATGGTATCACGTTGGAAAATCTTCAGAGTACCCAACACAAAATTACCATAAAGAAAAACGTCGTCGACATGGCAAAGCAATGGCCGCTTTACTTTGCCAGGATATTCCCAGTTTCCGTAAGTAACCAGTCATCCCTTCGTACAAATAATCACTGAAAAAAAAAATCAATAATTAAATTCAATAAAATCATTTCCAATCCGATCCTTTCAGATTGGCCCACAGCATCCGGAGGCTCAACACGTGGCAGTGTCTCATCATGGTCTCCGATTAATAAAACGCACCCCTAGTGGCGATCTGTCCATCTTGGAGACACTAGCCCTGGAGGACATCGTCTCCGTGGGTTCGGTCAGGGCTGGTGTGTGTACCCTTCAAATATCTTCAGGAGTAAGACTGCCATTGCACACAAGCAGGGCGCCTCAACTAGCAGAGATGATCGACAAGTACATAAGAATGGTGAGTCAATCAGTTATTAATTAGTTTATCAATTTATCCAATCGAATACCATAAATGACATTTCTAATTTAAACAATGAGTCCCACGTGACAAACACCACCCACCTTCATAGGACCAAGAAAAATCCACAATCCCAAGCTTGTGTAACGATTTAACGATGCAAGCAAAATTGTTAATAGCAACGTGCATAATGCTCACACGTCTGATACGTCATATATGAATCCATGTGTGAATTTTCATTGACCCGCAAAGGACTCCTCCATGAGAGTCCTTGGAAGGATCGCCATTGCCTTGATCAAAGAAAAAGAAAATGCGAAGTCAAAGGAGTGCCAGGGCCTCACAATGGGCCCATTGCGTAAGGGCAGTAGGTATAGGATGCGGATAGTCAGCCTGAGGATACAAAAATACACGCAATGATGCATATATATATACGTCACGACGTCTGTCGTACCATCCCGTGAATCGTCATTGGTCGAAAGGTGCGGCCGGCCTTAAGGCGCATTTTTATACCAGCGAGAAAACGACATTCCAAGGGACGCAGGCTAAAACGCGTGGGTCGCATCGACAACAAACTTCGCATTTCCCTGGGACAATAGAATGAACATTCCATGCAATCTTTATATATGTCAAAAAAATTTGTCTTAAATTTTATTGAAAATATCAAAGTCAAAATTGTACTTTTGGTTGATCCATTGAACTCGTTGGATTCAATGATAAATCAGGATATATATTGAATTTATTTTTAAAATGAAAAAAAAAATCGAGTAACGGATTGCTGAAAAGTCATGTGAAACTGCCTGTAGCTGTAGGAGGCATTGGCCAGCACATATGACTACTGACTGGAAAGCCAATTTACACCGCGAACACCTTATTACGTTACACGTCACGGAATTATGAATTGGCGCTGCGCGGATCAACCACTAATTGCTGCTGGATAACAGGATCAATTTAATCAGCGATTTAATCGGTCCGAAAAACCACAGAATTTTCGAATTTTATTCGCAAGTGTATAAAACCGTTAGCAAATGTGGAATTTAATTTTTTTTTTTTTTTTCTTAATGGATCGTCCAACCTCCCGCATGTGTGTCGGCATATATTTCAAGGCCAATCATTAAATCAGCAGCAATAATCTTTTTCTATATTTATTTCTCTTGGATATCTGTCTTCTTGAGATAACTAGAAATCCGATCTCTCTTCTAGTCAGGCTTTAATGTATATATGTACAAGTATGTACATAAGGATATATATGATATATCGGCCAAGTTTCACCGGATTGTAAAAATTCCAGCAACGTGCCATTGTAAAAACATATATGTAATTGCTTGATTAGCGTTGCTGATGATTAAGGTCGACCCAGGTCATGGAACACGGTTCGTCGATGTTCGGTATGAATTATCAGGCGCGTCACGTCAGCAATTGGAATGTAGATAAGCAACTGCACTATTCAGCAACGTAGTGAACTTTACATTGCTCTATGGAGTTTCCAATGATTTCCGGTCTTGTAAAACAGTCTCCTTTATATACACACTTTGCATTTCCTTGCTTGTATCTTCGAGTTCAAGCAACTTGCTGTTCCCGCCACGTGAACCGGAAGTCGGTTTGAATTGCTAATTCCACGAGATAATTATCTTGCTGGGAGACCGACAGCAGCTGGCCCAAATTTACTCCCGGTTCTCATCCCAGGAGAAGAGGCCGGGTCTTGCAGCAATATAAGCAATATTGCTGAACCGGGTACGCATGGTACCGGAATTGCTGTTTTTTCTTGAGACTATTATTATTATGAATATAAAAAAGAAAATAAGTCAAGGTATCGATAAATACGTATCAGCAATATTGCTGAATAATTATCAGCAATTATTAATAACAGCAACGTACTTTCGTAAAATTCACAAGAATCTAATAGCGACGCGCAGAGAAACTAAATCGTCTGAAAAAAAAAATCAGCAACGAAAATTCCTGACAAATGTCACGCGTCCGATTGGCTACCTGACTTAAGCAACAGTTTTCTATTTCGATTTGAGAATATTGACAGGTCAACCGGTATTACCGGTCGATCATAGAAACTTCGAGAAACCTATTAAAGCAATTGCTGAATTAACGCTCGATGGATTTCTGGTTAGGTTCTTGTACCTTTTTTTTACGCTCCGTTTTTTCCCTTTTTTCACCTAAACTGCTTACGGGCATTCCAGACGACCCGATATAGAATTCGCTTGAAATTCCTGATAGAACGTAGTACAGCAACAAGAACGATACAAACTGGCACCTTTCCTTTTACTTGTATTACAAAAATATATATATATTTTAGGAGGACCGGAAAGAAATCTATTATTTACCTTTTTCTGTCAAGATCGAAAATAATAATTTTTTTCGGTCCTCCTAATACATAAACAGAAAACAAACTAATAAGTATTAATTTCACCCAAGAAAGTCAAAAAATAAAAATTAATCAATCTACTCAAAAAAAATTTTTTTTTAAATTATCCCACAAGAACCGACCGTTCAAACTGCATTGGGCCCCGTTCACACAGAAATTATACAGTGCACCTGCCCCTGTAGGAAATGGGCGATTAAACTGGGACTATACGTTAGAGGGTATCCTTAAGGTTCTCCTATATATATATACATATATACACATTGAAGAACCAACCCATATGTCTCCCTATACACGTATCAATCCTTTTAACAAAGCCAAAACACGGTAACAGCATTGAATAGAATTTGCTATAGTAACAGTATAGCTAGCCGTTGACAGCATATATAGTAATATAATGTACAGTCTAATTTCAACCTATTACGTATTCGCCTTGAGCGACGACTCGTATTTCGTCCTTCCCGGGTAACTAAATTATCATGCTCTTATGGCCCGCGGAATCGAAAGTCGCTAACGTTTAATTCAATCTCGGTAGCGTAATATATATATATATGTAGAAACACATGGAAGTGTTCCAGGAATTTCTATCTATCAGGTACGTTTCTTGAATATATCCAAACTCTATATCTATATATACCGGTATATCTTAATATGGATGATTTACCATACCGATTAAAATCCAGGAAACAATCATGGCGTCCAAATTGCATCTATGGATTGAAGTTTCTAGCAAAAATCATTGCGAAGCATTATCTGAAGCTATTGTAGTTTTCGTAATTTCTCATGATGCATCCGTCACGTGAATTCGAGCGATGAAATTCATCCAGTCCATTATTTACAGTTGGTACCAGTCGCCGCCATTTTGATGAATTCCTCAGTTATTATACGCTCGTTACACGGTATATATTTTTTATGGATTATTTAACTGACGCTGTATTTCCTCTTTAAAGATGAACTTTGTTATGATCGAGAGAAAGGATGGATTCTTTCTGGATTTAAACCAAGAAACGTTTGGTGGCTAGTCGTACGTATTTGTTCTAGAATGTTCTGGGGTATATTCAGTGTACCATCACTTCCGGGCACAACGTATTCTCAGACCCTCCCTCATCCGGTTCCGATTTCTAGTTCTCTGTCGCATTTCTGTGTTATATGTATATATATATATATAGTATATATAGTATATATATTTAGTATATATATATATATATATATATATATATATATTTAGTTGTTGGATCAAATAACAAAGGACGTATTACAATCATATACTATTTTTAATTAACTTCTCTTGATTAAAGAGAAAAAATAAAAATTGATTATATATTTTTCATGGGCAATTTTTCTTGATTTCGTTGTAAAAATTAATTGCACCCGAATTCACTTGGGTATCAACTTTGACCCCTTATGTCTCAGTCATCCCTTGTTTTATTTATTTTTGCAAAAAAATAATTGCCGGTTTATTTTCTAAATGCAAACACGTCCTCGGGTATGATAAACTCGTAACGGAACTCCGCACGCTGTTCCAGTAGCTTCTTCTTTGGATGATGGGAATAAAAAAAGAAAAATGATTCAGCAATAACAGCAACCGACAACCAGCAATATATTCCTCTTCCCTACCATCAGCAACGGTCGCGTCCCAATGGTTTTAGCTGCATATGGCTCAGATGGCCCGATGGTGGGGATCGACCCAGATATCAGTCTTTCGAAGGCCCTACTACCCAACGGCACAACTTACCTGCCGAGCAGTTGCGGCGTCGAGTTAATCGACGCTCGAGTATAGAGCGTCGCGACGCGTCGTATCGACGGAAACGTTAAAAAAAAAATAAAATAAAATAAATCGTGAACAGTCTTAATAGAATCCGCTATTTTTACGTGAATAAAAATTAAATTTTTTTTTAATTATTCAAAAATCGAGTGCAGCCTGTTTACGTTTGTGCACAGTGAATCCAATCGGATAAAAAATTTGTGATAACGGTACCTCAGTGATAACCATATGAAAATTTCGTAAAATCGGGTACACCTTAACGATTAAGGAATTTCATACTTGTTACGCAAAAGGAATTGCGTACTTTGGTGTGTACGTAGCCTAAGGCTTCGATTCTTGTTTCACGCGTTACCCGAGCCTGCCTCTATGACGTAACGGACGGATGATTTTTTTGCATAAATCTTACGAGATTTTTGTTTTTTTCAAGTCTCATACTGACTTTCATAAATAATTTAATAATTTTTTCAATTCCCTATGACGTACCAGCAATTGCTGGTTATTTTTAATTATGCGCAATTGAACGAAATTGGTTGATTCCAGTTGCGGTATTTACTTGCAATAAAAATGTCACAACACTTTCAATTCCTGATTACACCGTGTCTGCAGCTGATACCAATCTCAGATGGGAATCGCGATTCGAATTACGTAAGAGGCGTTCGGTTTCACCGGAGAGTTCGCGGCAGTGTCAATGGCGAAATCCTATAGATCATTCAAAACGCCACAGCATCCAAAAGGTCCATTCTCATTGTACCAATGAGTCATGATCTCTAGGGGACACGCGTGTATCTCGGTACAATATAATTCGATCCGGTCCATAGAGCCGCTCCTTGATTTTTAATAGGGTCATATATATACTTCAAATTCAATTTTTTTTTTTTTCAAAAAAAAACCCCGAATCACCTGTCATTAAAAGTGTCAATATAGATCCGCGACGTTGTTCCTCTTCGTAGATCAAAACTCCACCAGCAGGCAAACCTAGCCAACTGTGAATTCTATCGCAAGTAGCGGAATGGCCACCCGATAAAACACTTTGGAACGAATTTCTCATTCTCAAAGAGAGAGCCCACCATTTCGATTTTCTCGACCTTGTCAGAATGGACAGTTAGCTCGTACCTAGTTCCTTGCACGTTCCCATTTTTCGATTTTTTTTTTTTTTTTTTTGGATCGTCAGAATCCATAGTCGTAGCTGTATAGTGTATATAAGCGATATGGGATCCAGATGAAAATGAACCGGAGAAAAGTGAAGGCAGGTTCACAAGCCTGCGAGAATATTTTCTTAGGAAAGTTTTTTAGGCCTCTCCCATTCGTAAGATGAGAATTTAGTCGACGCGATAATTATAATTAAACATGCATATTGTTCTTCCGCTGTTTATCCCACGAGAGTCCTTCGCTTCGTTTCTTTCTCACGGCTCCCGTAGAGGAGAGTCGTGTGCCTGAGGTCGTGATGACGATGACGATCATCACAATGATTATGATGATTGTAGTGGTGCCGGCGATTATGGTAAAAACGAAAATGAACTGTGAGCGAAAATGAGCTACTTCATCCGTGCCGGGACGAGTGCATGGGTACTTTGTTGAGTTTGTATAAAATTTTCACGCAGCTTCCCACAATCAGCTGCATCTTCAGTGAGATCGTTATGAATTTTTATATGGATCTTCCCGGGATTTCTCCTGAAACCAATTTTTTTTTTTTTTTTTTTTTTTTTTTTTTTTTTTTTTTTTTTTTTTTTTTTTTTTTTTTTTTTTTTTTTTTTTTTTCATTATTGAGATACAGCCTTGTCCTCGACCTTACCTCGTTTTGAACTTCGGTCACCAGGGGGGATTTCCGGTTTTGAAGTTGTCACTCGAGGGAATCCGGTTTTTCAGATTTAATTTTTCTTTTTTATCAGCCAGTCGAGATGCTCACTCGTGCATGTGCCGATGCGAAGTGGAGGATGTGTTTTTGCGTGGGACTTCAGTGAAGTGGCTGTTTTTTGGATCGTAGTTTGAAGAACTGGAAATATAAAAATGGAACGTGAGGTTTCGGATACCGAGGGTGTCTTTTCGAGGAGATTGTCCAGGAATTGGGCCGAACTACCCAGGACGCTCAGGAGACGTCAGAAGCATAGGCCTGAAATTTTGAGTCAGTTTACCGATTTTTCGGAATCTTCGGAGAGCGAACTTCGCAGGAACGATAACGATAAGGCGCATGGTCAGCGATTGCTGAAGAGATCCGAACTTTTAAGGAAATTTGAAAATAAGGAGAGGAACGAGGTTTTGGGTGATAAAAAATGTTTGAATGATAACAAGAGACAGGTGGGGGACGTTATCGGTATGGATAATGATTATAGGAAGCATTATGAAAATTATGATTCGAAAATGGCGCGTCAGAGAAAAAGTTTCGCCAACTTTGGTATGAAGTTTGAACGAGACTTTAAGAGTGTTTCGGACGAGGACAGAAAGACTAATTCGCCTGATAGTCTTCTGGTTAAATCGTCGGAGTCCGACTCGAGTAGCGACGAATATGGGCATACCGATGACTCTGGTGCATTTTTGGAAAAAGTAACGAATTTTGAAAAAGTACCCAGACCCAAGTACGAGAGCATGATAACGTCGGGTGAGAATAATTCGCAAGGTAGATTTGGAAAATTTTTTTCAAGTAAAGAGAGCAAAAATAAAAAATCGACGGAAGGTCCTTCGAGGGATAAAAAGGATTTTGAAAAAATGCCAAAAATTGTTAACCTTCCAAAGATCAAGGAATCTACGCAACAGAGGGATTCATTGCAGCAGCGTTACGACTATGAAAATATACCTAGAATCGACGTATCGAAATTGGATCAAAAAACATTTTTGAATCCGATGTCTCAAGGGTCACAAGGTCAATTACGAAAACCTTCGATCGAACGAAACTCCAAGCAACCCACGATCGACCAGCTACGTAAGGAGGATAATAGTTATTTTGAAAATTCGAAAAATTTGCCAAACTCAAAAAACGAGTCAAGTTTGGAATCCAAAAAATTTCAATTGCCCTACTGCCAGCGACAACCAACGATCGAAGAACTGAGACTCGAGGGACTCATTCAGGATTTCTATAACAGCGACCAGCTGTCATCGCGAGGAAACGGCGACCGAAAACATTCAAAAATGGAAACGATCACTGAGGAAAATCCAGACGGTAGTAAATTGAGCGTGCGAGAGATTTTGAAGAGATTCGAGGAGCTCAGAACTCAAAATCAGATGCAGATGGAAGATAAGAGCAGCGATAAAACCTTAACGACGATCCAAGAAACCCTAAAGAAGCTGGACGAGAAAGTAAAAGGCTACCAGATCGATACAAAAAAAGTAAATTCCAGCATATAAAATTTCAAAAAAAAAAAAGATAGCACCCATCAACCACAAACCAAAAACGACATAACCAATAATATTAGAAACCTCATAAAATATATCATCATACATAAGCAACACTAAGCATCCAAACGGACACAAGAAATCCCGAGTTCTCCTTTCACGTCCTACTCTCTAGAAAATTACTGTCAAGCAGCAAAAAAAATTTTATCTTTCAAAAAAATAATATCAATTCCAAAACAGGTCATCCCAATATTAACAACCCAATCGTAATATCCAGCATCCTAAGAATAAAAGTCCAAGACCTCTTACTACTAACTGCACCAGCATCCCAAGATGCATCTCGGTGCATTTAATTATCTAGGTCAGGGTCGTCATCTCCATATTCCTTTTACACTAACTCACGTTCACGCACCATTCCTTCCCATATTCCAACGCTCCACCGTACAAAAATTCCGTACAAAATATTTCATTAGAAATTCTCTTCCTGCATTTTTATCAAATTCCCATAATGCACCTATCCTATGTATATATCCACTGCTCATTTCTGGTTGCATTTTTATAACGACTGCATGCTAGATGCATTCCACGTAAACATGCAGTTTACGTATGAACTCGCATAGCACAACGTAGTAGCCAGCGTGGAGAACGGAACAGGTATTCGAGTGCACGGAAGAACTTGTTTTCTTGCATGACAGAGAGTGGTATATATCTATATACACCATATTCACACAAACAACTTATACACTATATACTAGGTAGTAGAACACGTGATACAGGTAGTTTCATTAAATTGTATAATACATCCAGAACGAAAGTCATATATACATAGCATATAAAAATAGTGCATATTGTTTTCCTTGTAAAATTGAACAATGACTTTCTTGCTGTTTCATAACATAAATTGTTAGTTAAGACAGCCGTAGCGAAAATATGTATAATTAAATAAAGAAAAAGAAAAAAAAGTAGCTCTTAATTAAATTGTTTTTCATTTTTACTTTCAGACCGAGCAGAAGCCACCGCATAAGTCGATCCACCATGACAACCATATTTCCCAGATCACAAAATCGATCCAATCACAAGCCAATCACAATACGTCATCGCACCCGCCGTCGCACAATCACTCGAATCACGTTGCTATAAGCAATCATGACAATCATTCAGCAGCCATCCGCATTCCAAATCACATAACAGCTACCAATCATATGAATAACCTGAACCATCAGAAAAGTCATCAGAATCAGCACCATAATATCAGCAACCATAATCAGAGCCAGAGCCCAAACCAAGAATGGAGGCAGCAAGAGGATACTGCTAGGATACAGGAAGAGAGCATTTATGAGAGTGGTCCAGTTGTTAATGACGGGAAACACTCTCTTTTACAATACGCCATGCTCAATTTCCGGCAAAGTACCGAAAAGTATGTATACTCTGTGCAAAACATGTATACTTGGACTATAGTGCGTAAGAGTATATGATAGAGATATTTGGACTGATGATTAAAATCGTATTAGAAATCTAATTGATATACGAACTGGGTACGGATACAGATATGTATAATTTATTGGGGACAAATTGAAATTTCGACTTTCACGATAAAAATTCGCGTATTCGGACGTGCTCTTCGTTTTGTAAAACGATATCTACCAATGGAATTTCGAGATTTGATCTCTCTTTCCGGTTAGATCGGTGTATTCCAATTACAATGAAATTAACGTGGAATATCGTAATTAGCACCTTGCGCAAGAGGCTGCAGCACACAAGTCGTGTTGAGAAAGCATAACACACGGCAGCCATAGAAAATTCCCAGATGGAGTATAGAATCAAGGAGCTTTCGTTGTTCTTGTCTTCTTCATTTCTCTGAGTGAAGTCTGACACGTTGAACGTTTTGATCCGAAGCTGATAGATACTGGGTTTACCTAAAAGTAAAAAAAAAAATGTCGTAGTAATCGCCAAAGGTAGGTCTTTTAGTGAATTTTGAATTGAAAAATAAATTTTACAGATTCGAGATGCTGAAGACGGCGGACGGTTCTATAAGTGGTTCCTTGAAAGTGATAGAGTCCTTGAAGAGCAAGAAGAAGAACAAAAAGGGCAAAGGTCAGCAGGATGGAGCCGAGTGGACTTGGAAGGAACAAGTTGATCTTGTAAAGTACTCAGCTGTTCCCATCGAGCACAGTTTGCTGAGACTTGAGAATGACTTGAGCACGTTGGCTGTCGAGTGCTTCCTCTGCCTGATGAGGTACATGGGAGATCAGGCACTGCCACCGGATATGAGTGAGGTCAAGTGTGTCTATACTATATTGATGGTAATTATAATTAAATACCTTAATTACAAGCGTCGGAGTACTTATGAATTATTTTTTAATTACCATTTTCATTCCCTTTCATCCAATCAGCACTGTCACAAATATGAACCACTGCGGGACGAGGTCTACTGTCAACTGATGAAGCAAACGACGAACAACAAGAGTCCAAATCCTGACAGCTGTCAAAGAGGCTGGCGACTCTTCAGCATCGTCGCTGCCTATTTCACCTGCAGCGAAGGACTCAGGCCTTACCTGACAAAATATCTGGAAACAGCAGCATACGATAAGAGACGTGCTTATCACGGCACGGCCACGGTCTGCTTGCAAAATTTACGTAAAACCGTGAAATACGGTGGCAGGAAGAACGTACCCAGTGTCGAGGAAATCATGGCGATTAGCGCTGGTAGAAATGCCAAGAGGCAAATTTACAGATTGCCTGGTGGTACGGAACGTGTTATTAATACCAAATGTACAACTGTTGTTCAGGTAAGAGAAAATCTTATTAGTACTTGTAGATTATCTTTATTTATTATTTTTATTTCATACCTTTTCATCCCACAGGACGTTATCGAGGAAATGTGCAATATTATATCAGTAAGGAATCCACACGAGATGGATGAATTTTCATTGTACTGCATTGTTGATGGCGATGCATTCACTATGCCTCTTGCCAGGGACGAGTATGTCCTGGACGTGACGACGGAGCTGCATAAGAATCATCAGGTGTTTTACCTGATCTTCTGCAGGTGCGTGTTGACGCTGCTTTCACGACCGGTGGAAAGTTCGAGAAAGATTCGTCTGGCGCTAGAGAAATCTCACTTATGTTTTTCTTCTTGCATTCCTTTTCAGATCCGTTTGGTATTATCCGCTTCGATTGGATGCGGCCTTGTACATTGAGGTCGTCTTCAATCAAATAGCTCCGGATTATCTTGAAGGTCTCCTGTTGGTGCTACCTGGTGAACATTTGCCAGAGGAAATTATCGTAAGTGCATTTACCGTATACGCATTGCGAGAAACGAATTCACCTGATTCAATCCGGTTGATAATAAATTTCTTCTTTTTATTTCCAGTACGACATGGCTCAGATCGCTGCCCTATTGCACAGAGCAGCGGATATGACGCATGAGCCATCGACCAAGGAGATAAAGTATCTGCTTCCGAAACCTGCATTGAGTCTACGTGACCCTCGACCTCAGCAATGGGCCAACATGGTGCAGCAAGCCTGGAACAATGTGCAGCATACTGCACCTGCAAGTTGTAAGGCACAAGTGCTGGGTAAGTCAAAATAAAATTGAATTGAACGAGAGGGTATGAATTTACTTGAATATCATTTTTAGAAATCTTGTCAAAATGGCCGTTATTCGGATCGAGTTTCTTTGCCGTGAAAAGAGTGCCCGAAGGAAAGGAGAAAGGTGGTGATCATATTTTAGCACTGAACAGACATGGCGTCCATTTCATTGATCTGGTCACTCACGTGAGTCCTATTAAACATTTTTTATTTTTAAAATTATTGTATGCATCTTATCTAACGACTCTATGACTTCCTCAGGAAACACTTTACCATTATCCGTATTCTGAGGTAATATCGACCCGTAAGGTCAAATCAGAAGAAGGAACTTTGTACTTGGACATGAAATGTGGCAATTTGATGCAACAACGAATCACAAGGCTGCAGACGGAACAGGCCCACGAGATTTCACGACTGATAAGACAATACATTACGATGGAGCAAAGAGCAACGAACGGTCAAGGCGCCGGTATCGGTTTTGGTCCGAGATAAAAGCGTATGAAAAAAAAATATAAAGAAAAAACTGAATCCGAACAGAAAAATCGAGGGCCAGTTAATCAAGAATCGCCCATCGTATTTGTTTTGTATTATTTATTGTGAGGATTGTTTAAATGGCACGGAGAAAGGTTGCGATAAAAAAAGTATAGATATGTCCTAGATAATAATAATAATAATGCTCAAGTTAGCGAGATAAATTTTGTTTTCGGTCTCTGTAAATACGTCTAGGAACGGATAGTTATTTACGTCTAGAAGACACGTATTACGCTTTGACGTAAAGGAAAGAAAGAAAAATAACACCTGAATTCCTCGGCATTCGATATTCAGGAATAGGTTAGCTTCGTATAGGATTTTAGAATTAAGGCGCGTCTCTATTCGCATTCTGCGCAATGCTGAACAGTCCCTTGTCTTCCTTGTTATCCTTGCGTCTTCCATTTTACGTCGCACAACGAATATATTTTTGAAAAATCGAGAATGTACGTAGATACCCGAGGAGTCATCGGAATCGAGTTTATAAGATAAATTAAAAAGAGAAATAAAGAAAAGATGGCCAACGTGTATCCAGTATAATTAGTATTGGCCTAAAGTCGAACTAACTGTACTCAATAGAACAGTTTCAGCCAGTAATCCTTCAAGTTATGAATATTTGACAATTGTTTTATTTATAAATTGTAAGAAAGATTTACAGATTGGAATTTTTATTCCACGAGAAACAAATATAACTATACTGTTATAAAGATTTACAAAACTAACACGATTAATTATCATGATGATACTTCATATGAGAGTGCATGACGTACGCGTATGTACGTCACGTGAATGACGTCACGTTAACATTAAATCTTTACATACCAAAACAGAGAATCGCGAATTTTCTCACCGTAACAATTAAAATAGTTTACTCGAAATTTTGGTAAGTTCACCCAAATTCCCATTTACAGATAAGCCTACTAATTTCTAACTGTAAACAAAGATAAAGTCCGTCATGCCGGTCTGCTGTAATACATATGAAATAAAAAGAAAATTCAAATGAAAGTTCACAATTTCTTTCACTCCTGATTGACAGTTTCATTGTATCAAAAATTCGCTTTCCTTTTCCTTATTTATTGTCATGAGGCCAGTTGCTTGCTGTATGACGAACGTATCCAGGATCCGTAGGGGATGACGGAACTGTCTGAGTTCCTGTGGATGTTTGCAGAGCACCAAAAGCATCCTCGAGCATTTCCAATTCGTCCGCTAATTTCTTTTGAATTCGGTTCGTCTTCAAGTTTCCTGCTGCTGTTCCAAAATTGGCGTCACGATCCTTTTTCAAAATTCCTGGAGACTCACGACGTATTCGGGTCGGCACGTTGTCGTACTGACTGGAATCTGAATACCTGCGATTATAGGAGGATGTGTGAGCAGTACTTTACATCCTGTTTTTATGATACAGGATACGGAAATCCTTTACCTGTAATCCTCAAAACGATCATCGGTATAGTCACGATCGACCTTCATGATTTTCACACCGGGATTAATGATCTTTGCAAAGATCGGTTCACCGCGTTTATCCAAGTTCGTTGGGAACCGTGGAGTATCTACCTCGTCTTCAGGTCGTTGATACACATCCTGAACTTTGTAATATCCTGGAGGACCTTCTGCTGGACGATACCTATCATTCTCACGATAATCATTCCTGCTTATTATAGATCTAGATGATTTATCATGATCACGATATCTCTGAGAGTCACGGAAAGGTCTTGAATTCTCAAAGTTTTGCGAATATTCACGCAGCTGCCTTTCGACGTTTTCAAATTTTCGATTTCTTTCTTCCTCAAATATATCAGTCGTTCCTGTCTGAGAATTTCTACCAGCAGAATTCTCAACTTCTCTTTCCGGTTCCCGTTCAGTATGTTTACTCTGATTTTCAGGAAGATCATTCGATCTGTCAAAGGCCCCATTGACAGTCCCATTGATCAGCTTGGTCCCATTTTCCAAATCCCTACCAGTCTTCCCACTCTTGGCCTGAGTCCCAGCATCCTTCTCCATCATCATCAGAGCAGTAGTACCCGACTTGGCTGTCAATAAAATTTCCCAAAATATGAAAATCCAAAACGACCCTAAACTACCAAATTTCCACCATAACAACCTGACACACAAATACCTAAATCCTTATCAGTAAGTGTCTGAGTAGCGTCGTGCTTCTTCTTCCCGCCGATTGGTTTCATCAGCAAATCAACAATGAATACAAGAGCCGTCAGGAGGCAAAGTGCTCCAAGTACAGCAGCATTGTCAACCAGATCCTCAGGGACGCTGTCAATCGACGCCAATGACAGGGAACCAACGATACCAAACAAGACAACGCCCAGTCCGAGGAGTAAGAATTCCTTAAGAAAAATAATCACCATATATAAACACACGAAGGTCAGCAGAAGAAATCTGAAGGATGCAGAGACACGATCATCCAAGATAATCGAGTCACCCTGATGACTCAATTATTGTTATACTTGCATACGGATCACGTGGCTAATTGACCTGTTACGTGTTTACTTATTGCGTACTAAGGTGCGTATATGCATATTATATATATCAAACTAGATATATATATATATACTATATGGACACCATTAACCTTGCCGGTCAATGCCGATTTCTCGGACAACTTGTTGTCTCCCTGAGTTTCCCACGTTCTGCCGCTAACTTATTTCTCAAAGCATGATCATTATTACAAGCATGAGAGTTGCTCCGAATTACTTTTATACAATTATACAACAAATCCAACACTCACCGTTTTCCTACCACGCAACTCATCGCTCGCCGCGCCTACAAGCAGACCTGCGCTGACTATCACGTATCCTCCGCAGGTTGCGGTTGCAAGTGCAGCACCTGATGAACAATAGTCGCAACAAGAGACAGAGATTTAATATGGCATTGTCTTGGGCAATGAAATAATACACAAGTAAATAAGAGAGTATGATATTACCTATGGTGCCCCACGTTACGTTGTTAAGCAACGACCATTCGCGGCTCCGATTCCTTAGGTAATGGAAAACTCGTCTGCTCTCATCATCCGTAACGCGAAGAGCGACGACGCAGGCGATGCAGAGAAGCTGAAACAAGTTATTTTTCTCTTTTAATTAACATAATTAAAATTATCTGATTTTATACTGAATGACAAGGATGATGCAAGGCATTTACAAATTTTTTTTAGCAACGCTGTTGCTCAAATTTACATGAGAAATGTTTTTGGAAAAAAAAAGAAACTGATTAACAGCACTAATATAATTCGACGATGCAACATTGTTTTGAAGTGAGAAAATTTTTGAAATTCAAAAAATTGGTGACTATATCTTTTTTAACACGTATACATACCACCTCGATAATTCTCACGTACACTTTGCGATTCCACATTTTTGATTAATCGAAAATTTATTTTTAATGGATCGTAGCAGTGGTTGAATTATTTGACGGAGTGATTATTATTTGTCATTTTTTTATTTCTTTTTTTTTAATGAAAATTTCTAATTCTCACTTGAATTAGCTCTTTTGGTATGAAAAGCAGTTTTTACTTTCTTTCGGTGTATGTTTATCACTAATGGCAATGTCTCACTATCGCAGGAAGTTAAAGACACCAAATGAATTCTAGTATGGCGGAGAGTCAAGCGACTGGACATTCGAATTGCATTGCTGAACGGCAACTGAAGAGATACGCAAGGTGAGTTTAGGTTGCAGGCTATGTCGCGGTAACAAGGCGTGTGTACGCCTGCGAACAATACTATTATCACACGAAGCAATGGCGTAGGTTGCAACAATAATGTGTACGTGTTTTAATTTTCCTAGAAACTCTAGATAAGACTAAGGTATATGGAGTATGCATAAAATTATTTATCGAACGAACAAAATTACAGATTCCACCGCAGGCTATGGCCTGAAAATTATAACTGATTAAATTGAATGATAAAAAAATGCATTATAAATATTTAACTGATATATTTGAAATTTCTATAATACTTCTAGAAACTTCTTATAATAACAATGATGATCTTGTCTGGACTCTTCCACCGTAGACGTGTATTCTTCGTTTCTTGCAACAATGTATTTGGCCGTTACGCGTAGTCGAGACTATTTTGTGACGTCGTCTACATTCCTGCTTCGAAGTCTTATGCGAGTAGCAAAGATTCTCCTATTCTCTCGAATTTTCCATAGACTGATAGGGTTAGCCAATAGAAAATTGATATTTACCCCACAGTACGAAATCCCGTCGGGAGCGAGAAGAGTCAAGAGTTCTTATTGGAGTGCTTGATGGCAAGGGATGAGACAACAGGCCAATCATTGAGCAGAGGTCTATTTTTCGGACTGAAACTTGACATCTGGCAATCTGACCAGGTCGTGGTGAAAAGTGGATCAGTCGCTTGTGAGCTCTAATATGGTTTAGAGTAAGAACGTAAGATATATTTAGATCGACATCGTGATCGAAGCTTTTGGATGATTTATAATTTTTTAAAATCATTTTCTACACTGGTGATTTAACGCGTTTAAGTATCATTGACGATCTTGGTGAAAGTGAAAATTGAGTGTATATCAAAAATATTGAAGCGAAAAATGAAGAAAGATATCAAGGAGATTCGTGACACAGGAACAGTGATCGATCAGGATTCTGATCCAGGTACGAGAGACGAACTAAAAGAGTCATTAGAGAACGAAGATCAAATTTGTGAGAATATAAAATCTCGTGGATCGAATAAAAAGCAGTCAGGTATGCTATTAATTGATATAAAACAGAAATGATAAATATGTATGTATGTACGTGATAAAAAATTCTTGTCGATATAGATAAAAAAAATAATCGAAAAAACCGATCAATCAATCGATCTACCAATGATCGTTCTATGAATCTGGCTGCTCAAATAGAAACCAGCAGGCAGGTACTTCAGTTGATGACAGATTCGAATTTTACAATAACGCAAATAAACGGTCAGAGAAAACTGGGTGGTCCACCTCCTGGATGGGCAGGGGACGCACCTGGTGCTGGATGCGAAGTTTTTGTTGGGAAAATACCGAGAACTATATACGAGCATGAAATTTATCCAGTTTTCCGTGCAATGGGTGAGGTCTATGAAATTCGTCTGATGATGGATTTCTCAGGTACAAATAGAGGCTACTGCTTCGTTATGTTTGCGAAGCCAGAATATGCACGTCGGGCGATTCGAGAGCTTGACAATTTTGAGATACTTCCTGGACGTCGAATTGGCGTGGTCGCCAGTATTAATAATTGTAGGTTGACAATAGGTTATCTACCACCTAACGTGGACAGCAAAGTCGTTATCAAAGTACGTAGCCGATTTTAGTAATCAATGGTATAGTTTTGTACTGGCAGTCAAGAATATATTTCTTATTTTACCTGTAGAAGCTCTACACTATCACCGATGACGTCGAAAAGGTAGCTGTCTACAGGAATTCGAACGGACAAGCAAAATTCGCTTTGGCTTCTTACAAAACGCACAGAGGAGCTGCCATGGCTAGAAGAAGATTGGTACCAGAACGTAGTACCTTATTTGAAGGTTCGGAGGTCAGCGTGGATTGGGCTCATCCTGCTGTTTTCCCTTCGAATGTGGTAAGATTATGTTTTACCTTATTATCCGCAAGAATTTGTGCCTTTGCTACGAGCGAGGTGGGACTTTATAATGGCAAACGTTGGCGGCCATGAAACCGTTTGACAATAATGGAAAACAATGATTGTGACCATTCATTGTCTCACGTAAAATTGGGACGTGGGTAGAAGCGGCTATCTTACCTATATTTATCTTATACTTAAACCTTCTCGAATTCTCATGGCTTAGAAACTTTTGTTTTTCTACGTCGAGTAACCTTTGTCAATTCTATACGATTGGTCGCCATTAAAACGCGATCAATGCTCTCAAGGAAACAGTTATCAATTATTCTCGTTTTGTTTGTTTTCTTTTGTTTTTTACTATTTACGTCAACTCAACTTACGTTTCGCAAGCATCCTTCTCGGCGCACTTATCTCTTTCACATGATTATTTCACAATTTCACGAACGATAATATGTAACGACCGCTGTTATGCTCTTCGAAATTTTGAAACCGTTTTCGCCTAACTAGTACAACGTCACGACGCGAGAGGGACGCAGTGTTTGAATTTCAGTCGGTTGGTAAGCGTCGTTCAGACAGTATCGATCAGCTGATTCCCGGGAACAGTTGTTAATTTAGTAGCGTTCGTTTTTCTTTCGTGAATTTTAAGTATAAAAAGTAGAAATGGGTGACTCTGTGAATTACAATAGTGAGTATTGCAATTATCGAAGTCCATTGTCAACTCGCTATGCATCCAAGGAAATGAAATTCAACTTCAGCGAACAACACAAGTTCAGCACGTGGCGTCGGCTGTGGATTTATCTTGCAAAAGCAGAAATGGTTCGTAAGAGGATGAGTTCTTTGTTAATTATGAAAGTATTAAAGTAATTGGTTTCAAGCATTTTCATGCTTTAAATTTGTAACATTATTTTCTGATGGTTCTCTAGAGTTCTAACAAAATTTTCTATCCATTGCAATTTCATTACGACAGAATGTTAAGTATCTGCAGATGTTGTGAAAATATCTTGTTGGGATTTACGATAAGGGACCCCCTGGGGAAAGTTCGACAAGAGTTCAAGATTCTCTTACGTACGATGATAAGAGATTGCATAATTATATATCAGGATTTTTTCCTTCGCTCGTAGCATTCGGACGCTTTTTTTGGTATTTTGTTCTAATCTTGTAAGATTATTCGGGAAAGATTGAAGAGAGAGGAATTTGCGACGAGCGGGGAAATGTTCTTCTCACCACCACTATCGTCGGTACCGAAGCTAAACGATGTGAGAATCGACGACGACCTCGTGATGAATATTTGGAACAGAAAATAAGAAGATATATTAAGGATGGACGATCACCAGTTCTCTTTAATAAGCAGAACAGAACACAAGATACTTCATCGAAGAGTCAAGAGGAAGAAATCAATGATGAATTGAACATCGATTGTTCACTGGATTGTTTGGATAATTTTCAGATTAGCGAAGCCGAATGGTTTCAGATTCAAGAGAAGAATTCAGAGCATGCGGATGTTGAGAATCATTGTCAAGTAGAGAATAATGATTCTTTGAATCTTTTTGATAAATACACTTTCATGGAAATGCCAGCATCAGGAAATGCGTCTAATCAGATTGAGAATTTGTCTAATTATAAGAGTCTCGAGAGTAAGTCGGATGGAGATATCATAAAATATCAAAATATGGAAAATCAAGAAAAGTCTAATGGCTTTGATGAATGTGGAAAATGGAATTCTGCAGATAGCTTTATACCACGATTCCCCCCACAATCCTATATAAAATCAGGCACGAATAATCCTGACATACAATCGCATGTAAATAATTTGGCCGGAAATATTAAGAATGGTTTAAAGAATAAAAATTATAGACAGGCTTTTCTTGAGTTTCTATTGAACGATGCTAAAAATGATAGACATACTCATCAGCAATATCCAGTAACTGTTTTAATGAACAATGGAAAGAATGATATTCCGTTGATTCCCAGCAATTCAATGTACAATCCAAATATGATTCAAAATCTTCATATTCAAGATCAAGCACCACACGTATTATCAAATATTAATACTAATTTCATTGCCTGGAATCAAAATAAGCACCAAGCCAGTAACGTTGCATTCACAAATGTCTTATGTGGTTGTCAGAATTACACTAAACCATTTGCTGGTTTAACCTTTAATTATTCTAATCAAACTAACAATTTATTACCAGCACTGGATATTGGTTATATTCCAAGAAATCATTCTCTTATAAATGCTCCTATTCCAATTATCCCATTGAAATACGAGTCCCCAGTGCTTACTTGCAGCGACACAAGTCAATTCCTTAACAATTCACAGTCAGCACTTTTTGCTGATAATGCAGTTCCAAAAGGTGCCAGGCCTATTCTTAATAGAACATATGTCTAATTAAAAACCAAAAATCATTAAACTCTAGCTCCTTGGGCCGGAGGCATACGTATTTTTTTATTGTATATCGCACATACGTATATTGTCATTATTCAAGTAGGTAACAATGTTTGTTCTTACTATTATCAGAATATTATTGCCCTCACTATATCGTAATCTTTTAAATAAGAAAGATACAAAAACTGTACCATAAACTTATTTGTACTTTTATATAATCTATATGTCCGACTAATTTTCTATCTACTTGATAACCATTGAACCTTATTACCTCTCTTGTACTCTAATGACGTCCTAATAATGAAATGACATACGTAATAAAGAATGAAATAATTTTTTTCTATGCCAACTAATTGCTATCATTAAAGAGTTCCAATATATCATATACACAGTCGAATTCCAGCAATATTGCTATTAAAATTGTCTCAGTCACCAGCTGGCTTTGATCGCAAACGACTTGGAGACTGAAAATTGTAAAATTTATTAGTTTATTTAAGATATTTTCTTTTTACTTTACTCACAGAGACTTGAGGTCGACCACACATTGCGCAATATCCACTCCACGTCTGATAAGGCTTTATAAAAAGGAACAATTGTTAATTATTCTGTAATGTTAATCGATTCTTTATATTTATAAATCACAAAATACCCTGGGAACGCATCCACAAGTTTTATGTGTCATTTTTTCATCCCCCCTGTTCCCTGATCTGTCGAGGTCGACTTTATTCTTTTTTTGAAAAATCTTACTGCTCCTTTTCGTCGAAAATTCCTTGTTGGACGAACCTTCGCTGTGTTGACAGGTAAAAATAATTCTTATTGCTTTTTAAGTTTCTCTTTTTTTTTTGTTTCCTCACATTGTACCACTTTCAGAGTCTCTTCGATTTTCCCTACCCGGAGATTTCTCTTCGACTGTTTTCTCAGCCGGAAGCTGTTGCTCTTTTTCTAATACCCCCTCTTCTCTTTTCTCTTCGGTATCTAATTTTTCTTCTGCAACCTCAGCGTTGTCCTTCTCGATTTTCTGCCGTTTACTTGACTCGTCAACGCTTACAGTCTTGTTCTCTTTGTCGCTGCTGACACTTTGCTTTGGTGTCTGCGTACGTTTGTTCCTTCTGACATAGCAATCCGGAAGTGTCACTCTAGTGACAGCGAGAGGAAGTCCTGCCAGTGTCGCAGCCAGTCCAGAACCATGAGTAGGGCAGGGACCTTGAGAAATAATTCTCATGAAGAAAATCCAAGTTTAAAAAAAAAGTCAGCAACGACGACATCGAAGTAATCCACTTCAGCAACAATTCATACAAGACAATTATAATCTTACAAGAATCATCTGGATCAATCAATAATATATTCTTACGAGTTTCATATACACGTGGAATTTTCCTGGACTGTCTAGATCTACATTCCTCTACTATTAAATCTGAAAAATCAGATATATCATTTCTTTATTCTTCAATTCTTTTCTTTACAAATACCAAATTCAATTTCTGATCCTCACTCGTATGCGATACCGAAGTTGCTGCATTTTCTCTAACTGGATCCTCCTGTCGCTGCATATCCTCCCGATGCACTTCCATCGTCCCGCTGCACTTGCAACTGCCCAGGGAGAATCATCGTTAAACAAAAAAAAATCAGCAACACTACCATTGCTACTCACTCGCTGTAATACGATGCACTCATTGGCAGGTCACTGTGCATCAGGTGCATTATAGGATAGCCATTGCATGCTGCGCATGTAGCCGGCCGTAGACAGGGGGAATAAATTGGGGTACAAGGTTTTATATTACACGTGCAAGTACTGCTCTCAATGTCCTCAGTCTGCAATTGAATTTTTAATTGTTTAAATCTCCCGTAAAATCGTTTGCATTATTTTCACTCCTATCTTTATCACCTGAATCTCCGTGTTCATGTAGGTTCTCTGCTCCGTCTGCACTTGGGCAATATCTACAATCGCGACCGACGGCACGCTGCTCTGAGTGTCGACGTATTGACGTCTGTGTACCTTTTCGATTTTCCTATAGGCGTGAGACATATCTACAGGATCCATCGTGTCTTCGATTACCGGTGCTTGTCTGCAACTGCTTACACTGGTAGTTGCATCGTACTTCGATATCTGTGAGTTAAAAATGCATTAGGAATCTATGCACTTTTATTCTATTTTCGGAATATCGCTTACGTCCGAGTCAACTGGTCGATTATCGTTATCTTGCTGACAAAGATTCCTTAACTGACCTGGGAAGCAGGTGTGGGCGGCGACGCAAGGATAACACTTCGTTGCTGAATTGCATTTTCGTCGCCAGTGACTGCGCGATGTTTTTGGGGGAGAGGATTAGGAAAAAATTTTTGGAAATTTTTTTCAGTTATACGTACACGAGTATCAGGAACAGCTCGAGCATAAATAAAATAGCGATCAGTAGGCAGAGTGGAAACGATACCAGCAATTCCCAATAACCACTGAGTCCGTACAAGTAAAATATTATTACGAGTCCTGCCGTGGCGAATAGCAGGACACCCAGTATACTGAACACCAGCATCTAACGAGGGCGACGGATGGGTTTTGTGATTTTTGGAATTTAGAATTTTTTTTTGCTGTACCGGTGAATCCGTAATGCCTGCTCCTCCGAATTGACTGATTAAATCCATTGCCAGGACGAATACGTAAATGGAGGTAAGGATTATCAGAAGGATCGACGACGCGTCTGTTAAGGGTGACGAATCCATAGCTGTCATGTAAACGACGAATGCAAACAGGACCAAAGTGACCAGCTAGTAATTTTTGAAAATTTATCTTAGACATTTTGATTATTTTTTTTTCTTATTACTTACTAGTAGGATTATTCTGACCGGTTTCACTCCTGATGGTCCATGAGGATAGTCACAGTCCACTTTGAACTTTTGGGGCACTCTGACAACCTTTGACCTTTTTTCCCTATCGTTGTTGCTCTTTGGCATCCAACCTAAAAAACACGTAGGATAAACCCAAAATTGTCGAGCCACTAAAAAATAGTCATGTTAAGGTATCTAACCGGAGAGGTTCATCATTTTTTTTTTCTTCACTTTGGAAATTCTTTTTTCGAATTCCTAGGAAAAATTCTTGTACAACCAATTCACGCGCGGTGAATCAACCATTCGATAAGTCATGGGACTTATTCGTTCCCCCATTTGTTTTGAAGCCATGGTTGCCATGGTGCTGGTATATACCCAGTGTGCGATATAAATTTCCATAAAATATTTAACATTTATGTATCGGTACTCGCGTACTGTGCAGTGCATATGCGAGTCACAATATATAATGCATCGTTACTATGTACCCACAGTGTACTATTGATAGACGGCGGAGGCATTGCTGAATTATTTTCTTGATATTGCTGGCCTATTTTCGTTGTGCAATTCGAAGGAGGAAAAACTTACGATTTATACAGTTAAATTATTGCTGGTGACGTTTTTCGAGGATCAAGAATTCACTTAAAGACATGGTATTAGTTTCCAATTCGCTATTGTCGACGACATTGGACCCTTTTCTATTATATACAAAGTTCAGTGACAGAGACAATATAAGGGTAAGGTAAATCTGATAAAAAAAAATAAAATTCAGTATCCGTAAAGGAAGATCAAAAGGATATCCAATAGGAAGAGAAGCGAGCAGACAGCTGTCAATGCAGTTGCCAATGTCAATCTCCATACTTCTTCAACGTCGTCTCTTTTGCTTATGAAAAAGATGCCTCCAGCTGCCATTAGAAAAAGGATGGTGCCGACGACGCCAAAAAGGAACATCTAGGGGATGACATTTTTTTTTTCAAAATTATCAATGACGAAGGATTGAAATTTTACCGGTGTGTCTGGAATGGGATCGCCACCAAATTGACTGATTATGTCAATGAGCAATATAAAAAGAAAACTTCCAAAAAGTACAGTCAGCAGTATGGCTTCTTCTTGCTTGTAAGGAGAATTTTTGGAAATTGTGTACATTGTCAGAGCAAAAAGACCCGTGACCAGTAACTAAAAATTGGAGAAAATCAAAATTTAAGGTTTCGTGAGAATAAAATTTTCTTACAAATTGAAAAATCCGTATCGGTTTGGCCATCGGTAACGAGCAGGCGTCGTCGCAGGGGCCTGCTGAGGTCGGGGCACATCCTGGACTCAGACAGGACGGTCCTATCATTTTAAATTGTAATTGAAAATTTCTTTGAAGATTTTTAGGCTGTCCTCGACATTCGCGTATACGTACAATTGATGGCTAACTTCGGGCACTTAAATACTTAACGAACATGTCACGTGGTTTAAGATTTTTGTATTTATTTATAAATGATATACAAATTGTGATCCTTACATATTAAATAGTTTAAATATATTCTATAAAGCTCTAATTAATGACGTTCGAGCGATAATCTGACGCGACGCCGATGTCGTATGGACGAAATTGCAATGTTAAAGAACTTTGGGTTATAGCGTTGTACCTGTCAAGTGTCGACTGCGATTTTTGGTCTTTGTTTTTTTTTTAACTGTCATAACTCAAAATTAAACCTGGAAGCTACGATCGATCTCATGCAGCTGCGTCTCGCCTTCATGTCCACCATTCGTGCCTCTAATAAATTGCCGCGTGAACGCGCCTTTATGTTTTATATTAATTTTTTTCCAAAAAAAAAAACCTACTCAAATTTAAACGTCAAGAATATATCGATGACAAACACAATAGCGTTGAGAAACGCAAAGAACGACGCCGATATCAACATATCCAAGTATTGTTTACTGGCGATGATGGCGTTGCTGCTGATCGAAATGTATGTGCCGTTAAGATGTCGCCAATTGTGAACGATCACGCTTCCAGCAACGACGTGAAGGACCGCGCCCACCGCCGAGAAGAGGATCGACTGAAACACACGAATAAATATTATTTCTCATCCTTGCCGTCGCTCCAATTAAACTTGAACCGCTCATTGCAATTCGTCGCGTCGTCACGCCTTCGTCTAAATAACTAAAGAGTATGGATGCGTTCTCACAGCGACAACAAACGTCCCGTTGACACGCGTGCACGAGAGTAGGTCTCGCTAAGGCTGCTAATTATTCCATACTCCACCACACATCGATAATGAGTCAGTAAGGTCAGTAAGTGCGACTTGAAGAAGGAGAGAGAAGCACAAGGCAAGACCACACGCGAGCGAAAATCCAATCCACGAAGCAACAAAACGATCGTGGAATGTCGCGTAGCCGTAAAAATTGTTAAACAGTGACGCAACAAATACGAACCGTCGCCCAGTTGTGTAATCATCTTAATTTACCGTTTTCTTAGGTATGCGATCGCCGATGAGGTATCCGATCAGGAACAGCATATTGATGATAATATATCCAGCAAGGCTGATATAGATGATAGCTATGTCGTCGACCTTAAGCCTCGGTGTGTAGTGTATCCGTTGAAAGGAATTCAAAGGATCCACGATCAGTCCCACGGCAAAGACAGCTAAGACCTGTAACGTAGTTTGTGGAAGCGCACGTGGAATGACAACACCGGCCATAAAAACAATGGTAACGCTAGACAAAACAAAGGACAACTCACCACTTCAACTATCTTAGCTATTATTGCCGTCGCGTTCAAACCGTCGCTCTCTTTGCTCCCGTGAGAATTCTGCAAAGTCTCATCAGCCATTCTGACCCTTTTGTGTCTTCCTCTTCCGTCGTCCAGCTTGAACGTATCAACCGTGCAAACGTATCGCTTACGAATACAGTCCAGAATCTTCCTGTTTACTCGCCCAACGGATACAATCCACGTAAACAACGCAGGAAAAAAATAAAACAATTCAGAGTCTCGTTTCCCTCTTCGAAATTCCTATCCCATAGAACCACACCTTATAGTCCGGCACCGTAAACAGACCAATTTTTCCAGTCAAGCCTATTGCCGCGCCTTTCAAACCTTCACAAGACTGCAGCGCGTTATCCTTCTCGCCAGGACTTATAAACACGCCAACCTCGCTTACGTATATTCGATATTACACGTCCTTATCAGTTTTTACTACGCGGGGCAAGTCCACTGCCCCCCCTACGTTTGGTTTTGCTTTACTACGGGCAACCCCCCACGGCTACTACGTGTACCCCGAGGAGCCTGTGGACTGTCAGCAATGGCGTACTACCAGCAACACCGAATAAATGTTCCTCGGGGGGAGCAGCAATGATGCATCGAGGCTCACGTCGCGAGTAGAACTGAAAACACGAAGCGTGACACCGTCTCACTAGGCTGCACAACCCACTACGAGGAACCACAGCGCTGGTTGCGTCAGGTCACATTGTATATACATATATACACTCTGTTGTATATGCACGGCACAGCATAGAAATTCAAGCTGTGAACACAACTGCCGTTCTTGTATGCGCTCAAGCCTACGCAATCTATACACTTCATTTTACTCTACGCAACTACGAGAATCACTACGATGATGGCGTCGATCACACATGTATATATTACAATGTAAAATCGAACCTGTGCAATAGCTGCCGTTACTCTATGCCTTCATTCCTATAGCGTCTTCACAGTCTTGATTTGGGTCTAGCGCAGACCAGTACTATACTTAAGTATAGTCAATGCACTTTATGTACAATAGTGAAATCGGGCGTGTCTTTATTTTATTATGTATGCTATACTTTGTGTATTACTTGGATTGCATTTTTTCACTATACGATTACTCACCTTTTACTACGGTTTTACGTCCTCGGCGTCATTCATGCTTTTGCCTGTTTTCACTGATGGCTTTTGGTACCGAGGTCGTAACGACTACATGGACTTTTCTTTTTACGTACACGCTGGCGAATCAGACTGTGTACACCTGTTCCGGGTCATTTGTCGGTTATCTAAGATTGAGGTGTGGTATGCTTGGATGAAATCTGGGTCATGACCTTGTACGAATGGGATCATGCTATTGATCACTTTGGTACCATCCAATGGTTAATCGGCCTGGAAATCTTAACAGGACTGTACCGTGTTATTCGGGAATGGCGTATAGGCTGGTACAGTGGGTGAAGAAAATTTTTTATGGATAAATAAAAAAAAGGAAAAGTTTTGTACGGACGTCCTTTTATGGTTGATTGAACCTGAGTTTGGGGTAAACAATGTTATTATTGTTAGTGTTTTTCTTGTTACACGAAGGTTTCCTTCTAATTAACTTATTAAGTGGATGTGGGCGTTCGGGGCACCGTGGGCGATTTTCTGTGTCTCGAGGGTTAATTGGATTAATTGATGCAACTGTACAGTCATAACATTCTCGTATTCTCGCGGTCAACATAGCGTATAGGTAGTATTCATTCATATATTCTCGGGTCATTGATCGAATACTCCTGTTATGAATATATCTATATATATATATATATGTATAATCTATATAGTAAATTCCATAGAGCGTAGAATGGCCGTTTATGTTTTGTACGGATTTTTGGCCGATTTGGATTGGATCTTCGATCCTTCCTTGATATTGGGCATTTTTGGAATAGAGTAGAGCGCATAATGTTAATGGGTTTCAAGAAATTATGTCACGATCAAGATGACCAAATGCTCTTTTTCTTGGGCGTAGGATGAGGACGTCAGAATCTTTATTGTTTGAAATTAACATGACCTCGTCTTGTATCTTATGTTGCGTATGTATATTTATAATGCACTTGATTAGTATTTATGAGGAAGTTGGATGATAGGAAATAAAAAAAAATTTTCGAAAAATTTCTTTTTTTATTTTATCTACTTTTTGGATATAATGTGCATGTTTTTTTTTTTAATTAATTTTTTCAATTTATTGGTCGTACTTTATTATGATCTATATAGATCTGTACGGGTATCGTATAAAATATTCGTCACGTGTATATATGTTTGTTTAATCAAACCCGTGGTGCGGAGTGATTTTTACAAAAATTGCTTAGAAAATTATTTGTAATCGCTACGTTGTACTGACGGGTGAAAGAAGTTCTTTCCAGTCATTTATATATTAAACCCCTTGCACTATTTTCACGAGTCAGACTCATGATGAAAATTTGAGGCCAAACTTGAATATCCCGAGTCAAACTCGTTATTTAATTTCATGTCAAACGTGAATATCACGAGTTTGGCTCATAATCGACATCTCGGGGGACAAGCATGAATATCATTAGCCGTACTCTTGGTCTTAATATCGGGTCAAACAAGGACGTTTACAGTTTTGACACTCGGGCCCCGCCTTTTCGACTCTTTTCGCGACTATTCGCGTGCATAGGTTAAGCACGGCTTGCTCCGAATTTCAGCGTAGTGCAAGGGGTTAAAAATATATTTTTTTTCGTTATTCTTATTTGATTTTTAGTCGTGGATTCGCGGGGGTGGATGAGTGGCAGTAATGACGTAACAGGTGTATCGTGTGCGTGTGAATTTTTGGGGTTTTAACTTTCGTCGTGAAAATGGTCGTGTGGGAAAAAAGAGATATTTTTCGCAAAATTTTGATGATTTTTTTTTTCAAAATTTTACGCGGAGCGCGATGCGTTATCGCAATTTATTGGATTTAAAAAAATGTATGTGCTATTCTCCCTTACTGGAATTCTTCTTTGGCAAATTGCAAGAAACTCAAAACCAAATCGAAAAGATAAATCGCTGCTTCGAAGGTGCAAAGTGCACCCACTGCAATACCAACCTGAAAGATATAAGGTGTATATGAGAATTGAGTAATTTTTTAATTTTTTTTTGATTTTATAATTTTTTTCAAAATTACCTGTCTCTCCGTCGTCACGTGAATGAAATCGTGATCATTCTGGTATCCGTGCCAGTAATGAAGAGCGGTAGCACCCACGGCAGTGAACATGATCATCCCCACGAAATTCATGATAATTTCCTAAAAAGAAAAATTAAAAATAAAACCAAAAATAATCAAAAATCTTAACTGGGACCGTAATACGTGCCTGTAGGGTCTTTTTGTGATTCATGTCACCAAAGCAATAAGTAATTAGCACTACGCTAGTGTATATGAAGAATCCAACAAAGATACCGGAAGCGACAATTTCCGCATCAGGATTTTTCGATTCATTCAAATTCCACGTTCCGCCGACACCCAAAAATTCTCCACCATATCCGGTTCGATACAGTATAAGGATGATGAGGTTTATCACCTGAAAATCAAATGTCAAAAATATTTTGAAAATATCTCAAATTTTCAAAATGCGTTTTTTCCATCCTTTCGTAGTAAAATTAAAAGTTAATCAACACATTGATAATAGCGGTACGCGTATCTATCCGTGCGTGTGTCATACGCCGTATCGTTCCACAAACACTGCATCTTATCATAAACCTGATATCAGACCAGGAATGATTCACCAATAAAAATGCTTCTTGAATGAGTTGTATTCCCGGTAATTAACGCGATATTTCAATTTTCAAAATTATAAATCACCACTTACTCATCTTTTCTAAAGAAACACCCTTAAATCCCATAAAAATACACTTGTCAAAAAAAAAAAATTAACTTTGACCCCAAATTTGGACACTCTTCTTGCTTTACGTAAAATATAAAAAAAAAATTCCCATAACGTTACCGCGCACAGGACTATATTAAAATTTGAAACTACTACGGACTATCACAAAATATATATCAGACATCGTCAATAAAGTTCATTGTTGATTATCCATCACAAAAGATATCTCGCACGACTGTACACTGCGATAAAAATAAATTAACGTAAAACTTAAAAATTTGCCTCACCAATTTCAACGCTTTAATCACTATACCGCCGATCGTCTGTATGGACACCATTTTGCCTGAGTTTAACACGCAACAGCGTCAAAGTCTTTAAAAAGAATGAAATTGAGGAGCGATTCTAAAAGTAAGACTCTGGAGAACCAAGCCCTCCTTATCTAATCAGATAAGGGAGTAACGGGTCTGGGGGGATATATATAAAATAGATAGAAAATTACGTACGAGCATGCGCACTCACCTCTTTCCTGTGTCTTCAGCACCCATGGCTAAAAATCACATACATTTTGAAAACATACTGGTAAGTGCGACCTCAAGTCCCACTCGTATCAATTATAGGAATTGGGTCTAGCGATAACCATGGATCAGATTGCCGAAATGGAGGCTCAGGTCGATAACATCGACTTCGACGCCGCAGCCAAGGAAGAAAAATTGACCCGGCACGACGTGATGGCCCACGTGCACGTTTTTGGTTCCCAATGTCCAAAAGCAGCACCGATCATTCATCTTGGAGCAACCAGCTGCTACGTGGGAGATAACACAGTAAGGATACAGTAAGATATATTGTAAGGATACCAATTGGTAAAATTAAAAAAGAGTCACAGTTAAAAAATTATATTTTTCTCATATTTAAGGACCTGCTGGTATTGCGCGATGGATTCGACCTCCTCTTGCCAAAGTTGGCAACCGTGATATCCAGACTGAGCAAATTCGCCTTGGACTATCGTTCCTTACCAACCCTTGGCTTCACTCACCTTCAACCGGCCCAGTTGACGACAGTTGGTAAAAGGGCGACCCTCTGGCTTCACGATTTGCTCATGGACGAACGGGCACTGCGCAGAGCAAGGGCAGACCTGAGATTCAGAGGCGTCAAAGGGACGACGGGTACTCAGGCGTCCTTTCTTCAACTGTTCGAGGGCGATGGAGAGAAGGTGAAGCGTCTCGACGCCCTTGTTACCAAGATGGCTGGGTTCGAGAAGTGCTATGCAGTCACAGGACAGACTTACAGCAGAAAAGTTGATGTGGAATGTCTGAACGTACTCAGTTCCCTAGGAGCTACCGTTCACAAGGTGAGACCAAGTATTCAGTTGGATCGTTCTATCAGCTTGGGACAAGTCTTTGAAATTGTATTATTTAAATTTCCAGATTGCCACCGACATCAGATTGCTGGCTAATATGAAGGAGATTGAGGAACCTTTTGAAAGTACCCAGATTGGCTCAAGTGCTATGGCTTACAAACGGAACCCAATGAGGTCGGAACGTTGCTGCAGCATTGCTCGTCACCTCATGACCTTAACGAACAACACACTGCAGACTGCAGCGACTCAGTGGATGGAACGGACCTTGGATGACTCAGCTAATAGACGTATCACGCTATCCGAGGCATTCCTGTCAGCTGACGCTATATTGATGACACTTCAGAACGTTACCGAAGGTCTTGTGGTTTATCCTAAGGTTATAGCTAGGCATATTGCTCAGGAACTTCCGTTTATGTCCACTGAAAATGTAATCATGGCGATGGTCAAGGCTGGTGGCGATAGACAGGTCTGTCATGAGAAGATACGTGTCTTGTCTCATGAAGCTGGTGCTCAGGTCAAGCAACACGGCCTAGACAATGATCTTGTTGATAGGATTAAGAGAGATCCTTACTTTGCGCCTATATTGGGACAACTTGATAATCTGCTGGATCCTTCGACCTTTGTCGGAAGAGCGCCGGAACAAGTCGTGGAATTTCTTGAGGAAGAGGTTTATCCTATACTTGTACTTTACAAGGATGTTCAGGTTGCACCTGTAAGTCTAAATATTTGAACTGATGGTACGGATCTCTTCTGAACTTTTTCTGAATACACGTGTATACTTTTTTCATGCTTTTAATATAATGGTTTGTATAGATAAAATTGTATATTTTTTTATCAATGTTAATATTTTTTGTTTGTAAAGGGAGAACATTTTTCGCTTATGCATGTATCAGTATAATGCAAGTGTATATAAAGCAAGCACCGAATAAAGTGCGAATACGTTATACGTTTTTTTTTTTTCAATTATCATTAATCGCCTTATACATTATTGGTAATTAATTCATGGCCAATACTTTTGGGTAAGACTATACTATAAACTGTGTCTGTGATAGCGTGCTTTATAGGGATTTGGTAAGTGATGTAGAGATTGAAGAAAGACAGTTGAAGGAAAAAGAGAGAGAGAGAGATAGAGAGGGAGAGAAGCAGCTGTAACAGAGTGAATGGAAAAAAGTAGAGACATAAAGGAAGTAATTAAATATATAAGTATAGGTATTTCTAGTATAGTGAAAGTGAAATCGTTAGCAATTCGATAAAAACGAATATACGTAAAGATTTTATAGCGGATGCGCTTGTGAGTTATTAAGTGTGAAAATAGAAAAATATATGAGAATAGTCAGTCAATGTTTATTGTACATATATGATACTTGTAACAGCACAATGGTAGTTAAACATTGCGTATAGCAGAGGTGAGAGGATAGTTTGATAATAGTATAGTAATAGAACAGATAATAAGAGAGAAATGATAGGAATAGTAGAATAGAATTTTATAATAGTAAGTGGTAAGCAGTAGTTGTCATGGAATAGTGGTTGCGATACCACTAGTTACGATGCTTGTACTAGAATTAGATATAGGTAGGTAACAAATGGTAATCACAGCTCTTATAAAATTATAGTTTGAAAGTAATGCGAAGAACTGAAAGAAGAAAAGATAATAGAGACTCGAAGAGATTCGAGAGTTGAGATTATTGAAGAAAGTTAGAAAGGGCTGACCGTAGTGTTTAAAATTAGAATAGTATACAGGGATGTACATAGTGTTTTGCATTTATGCGAATTCAGAAGATACAGATTGTAAAGGTATAGTTAAAGAATAAGCATAGAGAGACAATGAAGTAATGAGAAAGTAGACTAGAGAGAAAGCGAGTAGGGATACGCTTGGAAATAAAATAGAACAAGTATAGAAATAGTGAAGTATCGAAAGAGAAATAGAGAGAAGATAGAGAGATTGGTATACAGAATCTGACGATAAAGAAATAATAGTAAGACAAGAAAAGGAAAGAAAGAAAGAGTGAGAGAGAAGGATAGAATAGAGGAGAAATGGAAAGAAGATAAGGAAGTAAAAAAATAGAAAATTAATTTAAATGTACTAATCACAGCATCGAGTATCTCATTTCTTAGTAGAAGAAGTGTACGATAGACTAAGGGTAGATCGAAAGAGAAAGATAAAAGGCAAAATAAGACAGTAAAGTTTATGAAATCATAATAGAAATAGGGACAGTATAAAGTATAGATGCAGAATGAAAAATTAAGAGTCACGGATTGAAACATTAAAGAGAAGAGAAAGAAAGAAAGATAAAAGACGAAATATAGAAAAGCGAGTAAGGAAAAGATTCGAATAGAAAAGTTTGAAAAGAAAAAAACGAATAAAGAAAGTCAGAGAAAGAGTAGATGATAGAGTGAAAGAAAAGACAGTAAAAAAGAAAACAGAACAAGAACAGATAGTACGAAACAGAAAGATAAGCCAGATAAGAAGGAATATAGAAAAGATTCTTGTAACGATTAAACGATCATAAAATAAGAATCACAAAGTTTAGAAAGTTTTGTACAAAGTTTTCGAAAGATAGACAGAATGATTCAAGAAGTCTCAAAGTGAAACGTTAGGTAGATCGGTAAAGCAAAAGAATCGAGGTCAGGTCGTGCAAGGCACAAATAGAGGAGCGAATAGAAAGAGTCAAGACAGAGGTAAGAAAGAAAGAGTATCGATAAGGTGAAAGGAGATCCAGTGAAAGGAGAAGAGAAAGTGAGAGATAGAGAAAAGAAGAAAGAGAAGATCGAAGGTGGGAAAAAATCGTAATAAAAGTAAAGATAGCATAGACAGTCCATTGAAAGTGCCCGCAACAACAAGGTACTTTATGGCAAGACATAGCAAATTGTATTTGAGATCGTAATACTGGTAGGTACTCAGGAAAAGAAAAGCGAGAAATCGAAAAAAGAAGAATCACAAAGAAAAGATAAAGTAGAAAGTATAGAACAGAAAAAGAACAGTGTGAGAAACGTTGAATAGAGTGGCTGGGAAAATATGGAAAAGTGAAAAAGTCTAAGATAGAAAAGAGCAGAATTCAAGGAATAGCCAAGAGAAAATAAAATCTTTGCAAAGACAAAAAGGATTTTGAAAATAGGAATATAGAGAGACAGTGAAAACGTATCAGACAGTAAAGAAGAAGAGGATCTAATAAGATTGTACAATTGTCTAGTGATAAACTAGGACGAACATTGCGATTTTATCGAATTACAAAAAAAAAAGCAGAAAATTTGCATCAAGACAAAAAAGACTGAATATAAAATCAAAAACACTTCGATAAAGTAGCATCGTCCATTAACGCAATAACTTTTATCAGAGAGTTTTCGTGTAATGTAAGTAATAGATGGTAGGTAGAGAAGCTATCACAGTGTGTGTAACAGAAAGACAAAGAAAAGTGTTGGAATCATAAAAAAAAGCAAATATGTCTGCCTCGAATTAGGAACTCGAAATTTGTGGCGATTAGTAAAATCGAATAAATACAAAAAAGGGAAAAGGTACATAACGAGTAGCTATAAGACACCGGTTGAAATTTTAAAGTGTTCCATGCTGCAGTAGACACAGTTGAAAAATTCAAGAGTTTAGAGTTCACCATGTAAATTAAATCATGAACCCTGAACTGCTGAACGTCAATAAAGAGTGAACCGTTAAAACAAGGAAAAAGAAGAAGAAAGAGAGAAAAGTTATCCCCACGAGGTCTGCAGACGCGTGAATAAAAATTGTTGAAAACGTAAGGGCCAGGGCCGTGTTCATTTCTTGGCAATGCGGTGCCCGGTGAACGTGGTGCCGCTAGTAATTTTCCCAGCTTCGACGAAAACAGCCAGTTGATCACCGGCTTCGACGTCAAGGAAAACAATATTGGAGCCACCTCCAGGACCGGCGCTCACCACAGGATTCCAATTTGCAGATTTATTCGCTTTCATCTTGAGAGTCAAGCGAAGATCAGAATTGCCATAACCAGCAAAACCAAATTGATACGTTCCTGGACAATGAGTAGTGAACGTGCCAGTCTCAGCAACGTATCCCACGCCTTTGTCCACTAGAGTCCTCGACAGCACCATTTTGGTATCCTAATAAAGAAAAAATCAACATAAAATATCCCAAATCAAAATCACTTTCCAAATTCTCCCCAAAATTTTCAATTTCCCCAAACTCACCCTAACGGTCCCATCGACAGCTGAGAATGCAACGAGACCTGCGCAATCGGCAGCTGTAGCCAATTTTAACGAACCAACTGTTGTGATACCTGAAGTTGGTGGATCTGGTACTGCCGCTTCGGCCATTACAGCCATCGCCAATACCACCACCGACCACACCACCCTTAAATCAAAGAAAACAATCTTATTAAAGTATATCAACAAACTACCCCCACTTTATAACCTATAAAAATACTTTCTTATCTTATACGAAATCGACCTCGTTCCTCGACTCAATGTTAATCATATTTTAATGATTTTTTTCACTCGCTTCTGTCATAAATCTGACACGTAACCACAGCAAAGTTCAGCTGGTTATCAACTTTCACTCCTCCAGGCATTTACGACATACAACATTTTTATTCTCGTTCCTCTTCACATTCTCGTACACTCGTACCAGCCATCCGCTTCAACGCTGTTCCAATATACCAACTGCCAGTTGCCATCCCAACTGGATTCTCCAGTCTGACAACATCGTACACCCAAACCCACGTCCCAACCAAACTGGACCTTTATCTCAGGTTGCGAAACGACCCGAGTCCACTTGAGTAGTCAAGCACATTGAGCATTACAGTGAGCCTCTTCTTTAAGGGGAGAAAGTGAATATTTTTTTTCTTTTCTTATTACACAATAAGCATACAAGATCATTTTTCATAAAATTCAACACAACGAAGCACGTGACCCTAATACCCTAACCTAAACAACAGCAAGGTCTATGGGTAATAATAAATTTATCCAAGATTCGATTCCAAAATTAACCAGTAACGATCGCCAATAAAACCGTAACAAAATGGTGTCGCTTTACGCACGATCGAACATTCTGATCATACTGTACTCTACTTTCTATTCGTTCACGAGGGAAAGTTTCTTTCCAGTTGAATTTCATTGTACGGCTTCCTCTGCAGTCCTTGCGTGTCAGGTTACCGTCATTACCGCCCCCCCTTTTTTTTAATGTCACAAACAACAAAAAATGACCTCGAAAGATACCGATCTGTGCTCCACCTTTTATTTAACCATATACACTCCTACGCATTATATTAATATTATACATTGCTTATTGCATATACTAGTGTGTTAAATATAATATATAAAGAATGCATAGAAATATATAATATATACAGTACAAGCGCTATAGTATATATATTCAATGCATTGTATGCTACCAAATAATATATAGTATATGCAGTATATACTTCAATGTATAAAAAATATATCGTGTCATTTAGATAACATAATAATAATCGATATTATAATTGAATCGAAGTGACAGTAAGAATTTGAAACAGCCTGTAGCCGATAACCAATCAGCAATACGGGAGATCAAAACCGCCTAAAGACCCTTTCACTTTCTCGGTATCTCAAGGCCCGATTGCTGATATGTGAATGTTAACCGGTACTTTTGATTGGCAGGAGCAAATTCCTCGCGAAGGTCCAATTCCGGCGTAGATTTGTGATAAGTAAAAAAAAAAAAAGATAAAAAATTATATGCGCAGCAATAGGCGTATTGTGACTGGAGAGTTAATTTATTCGCGGCCGATATCTTTGTTGTGTCTTTTGCCAAAGAAAAAGAATCAAAGCATATTGAAGAATATATTTCCTCGTGCTTGACCTTTGACGGAACCGGAATTTTTTACGTCGGTGCAACGAAACTGCGACTCCGGCGAATTTACTGGAAATCAGCTTGGTTGTCATTTGTTACGTAATTTAAAAAAAAATTTTATTCCGCGAATCTTAACGGTTTTGTATTTTTTAATATCTATATAATAGATAATTGATCGATTATCGATATTCGATATGATCGACTATTTTTTTTATTAATTCGTATTTTTCAAATCTGCTTTATCGACTCTACTTCCGGATTTCCCGTTTCCGCTTCCTTTTTTTTCAGACGCTAACGACAGTCCTGACCGAATATACCAAGCTACGTAATACTCTAAAGACTTTCTCAGTTATATGCCAATTTTTTTTTTTTACCTGCCACATCAACATTTACATAATGTCACGTAACCTCACTACCACACAGAGCCGTACCTACACGCGATCCTGCAACTGTAACTTGCAATTTCGCAATGGAGCCTGAGCCACGGTCTCACCTGTATCTTTCCTTTTTGCTCACCCGTTACATTTTGCAATACCATATTGCTGAAGAGGAAGAGAAAAAAAAAGTGATCTGATCTCCCTACGTCTCAACGTATCAACAGCGCATTGAATTTTCCAATGAAGTTTCACAGTTGACGAAAAACAGTTGCTTGCAACATACTGGTACCAATTGGATACCAATTTTTGATATACCTATATAAACTACCTACTACAATCTTACATAATACAAACTGCACTGTGATCTATACATATATATAAATATCACAATTCTAATCATCATCGGCATATACACTGTGATAAGGATACAATAAATCAAGGTCAAGTTATTAAAAATAATAATAAGCTACCACGTAGTTAGAGCAACATATGTTAATTTACGCACGATATAGAATTAAAAATTTTTTTTTGCTAATTTGTGATCTCGTGGTATATATTTTTTAGAGTGCGATCAAAAGTTTTTCAACAAAAATTCAACAACTCACATGATGGTCAGATGTGGTGTGGCAGGGATGATTTTCCTAGGCTGGCCGAAGTTGGCAACTGGTGTCTTTTCTTATCTCTGGTTTCAGGTGCGTTAAACTCGACTGCCACGGCGAATGGCTTTATATCACTTCTGTCCTGGCGGAGGTCTACCTGACCCTCCTCCTCGTGCACCTCCCTACCAACTTAACAATCGCATCGACAGTCCCACTCCCTTTCTGGCTTGCTACGCTTGTTCCTCTGCTTATGTTCTTTCCCACTCTCTGCCACCACTTCAACTTCGGTACAAAGCGAACCTCCATTTCGATAGACACAATGAAGTTGACCAAATCACGGTAGTCGCTATTTCCTTTTACATCGATAAATCTTGAGTTTTTTTTTTTAGGACACTCAATATTTACATAACCGCAACAAAAGTGGTGGGGTTGGGGAATTATTGAAAAAAATATATATATTCCGACAAAAATTTATTATTTTCAAAAATTCATAATTATTGTTTATTTATTTTTTTTCATCTTATGTCAATCTCAAAATTCATGTACCATTTTTTCTTCTCGTATATAAATTACTTTGCAAATTTTTCTGTTGCTGATCCAAGGTTCAGCAATGGGTACTAACAGCTGTTGCTGCAACTGGGTTACGCAAGAAATGTTATCGCTAGGACAAAAGACGATCGGATAATTATTTTTATTGGATTAACGCGAGTAAACTTTTATTTTTATTATTTTTTTGAATCATTTTCATTGTTGATCCTATTTCTTTTATAATGTGACTTTTTTCTTCTTTTTTTCTATTCATCATCATTTTTCCATATGGTGAATACGTTACGTGCTTTGTATATCATTTTTTGGTTTTTCTGTACGGGGAAAGGTATTGGTACTGTATATGCTTTTTGTGTGTATATATATATATTTATATATATGATTTCGATTTAAAATAAAAGGTATCAGTAGGTCGACGAAATGAGTTCACTTTTCATGACACACTTAAGTCAGTAATGCCTAACGGACTAAGAGGATCAGGAAGAGCGATAAATTTTGTATTCTATAGAGCGAATCGCAAGCGAGCGACACGCTTGAAAGTTATGAGCGATTACATGCTACGTGCGTACTGCTATGAGAACTCGCAATTATCTTCCTACATATGCATATGGGATGATCATGGAAATTTCCATTGCTAAAAGTTCCCACTGCTTGAGTCTGTACGAGAATTTTGGTTATCTGACATTGGGTTAAGAATTACGATAATTCTTGTTTGGATGAAATTTGCAAATTTCTTTTTCAATCGTTCGATCGTTTATGTAGTTCCTATCTCTTTCTCGTTTCGCAAACCACGTAACTGCGAAATCATTAAGCATACCGATCAGACTTTCTTCCCAGTTGGCAAGGCTCTCGGAGATTTTCTAAATGATCTGACAATGCGTGGGTTCGATATTCTCCTATTGGGTAATATCTACAAAGCGGTACCAATCACGTAATCAATACAGAGATTGATCGTTGATCTTTGTCAATTTTTTTTGGCAAAATCGTAAAAGTAGGTCGCTCGTCGAATTCTATATGTAGTTGAGACAATGAAATTTTGTGAATTTCAATTTTTTGTGACAGATCGAAAACAAAGGAATTTTACAAACAATTATTTTGAAAAATATGTGCAAATTTTGTACTGTAAATTTTCCAAAAATTATATTTATGTACCTATGTCATTTTTTGAAGTGCCACGTGGCACTTTATTAAGAGTTAAGTTGTTCGTCAACTGTCAAAAAGATAAACATTGAACACGTGGTTTGTTTATACCTATGCAAAATGCATTGTACACTGGAAAGATATTAAAATCGTGTAAAATGAAAATGCTAGTTGCGAATTATTTTACGACAAGATAAATAAAGAGTTAATATCTATTTGTAAATGCTTGTCAAAGAAACGTAGTTACTTTTCTTGTTTTACATCGTTAAAATCATTGGATAAGTCATTTTCATGGAATCGACGGTGAAAGCGGCCATTGTCCTAGTATCAGAAGTATCGCGGTTTATAGTGACTTTTTTCTTATTGTCATTTCTATCCTTTTCTTTGGTCTTCTTTTTTTTTCTTTCTCTTCTTTCGCTTCCGTCGCTCACTTCAAAACCCACAATTTTTACAGACTGATAAACAGTTTCCAATAGTTTCTTGCGCTCGGTTCGACGAACCCAGCTTTCTACTTTGTCTGCGTTTTGCGTTTTCCGTTTGGCAATAGTCCACTCGAATGGTTCGCTTGGTAGAATTATTGCGGACTAGACTATATAGAAAGAGTCATGTCAACTGGTCATCCAATTACCAATTCCAAGCCAATGATTTTGGTCGCTACTGTATGGAGAGTGTATAGCGAGTGACCACGCCTTAGCTATTTAGAGCAATCGAAAGTTTAGCCCCGAGGTTGACAGGCAAGTATTACCAGTTGTCCAGTTGACCAGTTGACCATAGTTGAACAGTTAGCAGAAATTAGAATCAAGAAACATAGGATTTTCCTTTCTTGATTTTTTTTTCACCCGTAGGCGACAGATTTGAAATTTGATACCAATTGGCCAGTTGGATTGTTTTTGTTAGGTTTTGTGACGGATGTTGATGGCTCGAGAAAGGATTTTGTGTGGACGATTTTTTTTTACATATTTATTCAGAAATAATATTACAATAGTGGTAAATGGCACGAGTAATTGGATTACAAGCGGAAGTTCGATTTTGACCGATCGATTATCGATGCTGTCGAACAAAAATTTTTGGGAACGAGAGAAGAGATTTTTTCCTCATTTTTTTGTTTAAGCTAGTTGTCAGCTGCAAAGATGCTCGATGCCATTGGAAATTGCTCTTGGTATACCACTCTTTTATTTTTGCCTTCCCTCTCTCTGGTCCTGATTTTGTGTCTTTCAAATTTCGCCGTCTGATTGTCCTTACTTGCTAGTGATAAAGTATAAATAAATAATAGTCCAACAGAGAGACATTGAGGAAGAGTGATAATAGTGAGAAAAAAATTTCAGAAAAAATAAAATGACAATGACTCTACAGGTAGATTCATAATAAACAAAAAAAAATATAGACTTTTCTAAAGTCTAAAGAAAAAAAAAAGATTTTGAAAAATTCTCGCGCTCGCGCTCCGCCGAGCATCCTGGTAAAAGTTCAAGTTACACGATTTTCATGTTATCATCGTCATCGTCATTATATACAAAATCCATGAACGATTCCCATAGCGGATCATCATTGCGTTACACGAGTGATAACGAATTTTACAATAGGGCGGTGAAGATAGAAAAATGAATTTTGGTTAAAAAAAAATATCCAGTAATATTTTCACCGTCGCTCCTCCGATATGTACAAAAAAATTTTGAGATAATAAAACGGATTATTTACATAGTGATGACATCAGGATTCTCGACTCGCCGGCGATCCACATTGATTGATCGGTACCGATCGGTTTTCACCACATTAGAATTGATGACTTTTTACATATACGAACTGGTCATCAACAGTCTCATAGTCCAGTTGGCCAACTGTTTCTCCCACGAACCAACTCCAATACAATTTTATTATTTCAGGATGTCGATGAGCAATCGATCAATCGATCCAATTGGATGATCATCATTATGATCGTCAGATGTTCGAGTGAAAGTAGGTACCAAGGATCGCTTGGAGGATTTACCGATTTTTCTAATCGCTTAGACAAGGAGATTGTCATCCTGACAGGCGGGTCCTTTGCTCGGCCAGTTGCAGGCACCAGCATTGCTGTCGAAGCTGAGATGAACGGGACAGTTGAAGACGTGAAGGGTGAACCTCTGCTTCCATTCGTCCCAGTGGCAGGCGTAGAATTTGTTACAGTACTTGGGATGCCGGAAGAGACCTGGTCTTGCGCAGTCGGTACTACCTTGAAGAGTCTCATCTACCCCACGCCATCCACCGGGTCCATAGCGATCAAAAGCAGCGCCAGCCTGACCCACGGCATTGCCATTGGCTCCGAACTGACCTAGAGCCTTGGGAGACTTCACTCTAGCACCAGCACTTCGACCAAGAGGAATATCTTCACGATTGGATGAAGCTGGTGAACTTCCCAGTTCACTTCCGGAAGAGTATGACGGTCCTGAAGACCCAGCAGGACCTCCACGGTTCTTGGTCAAGAGGATCTTAGGCGATGAGGTCGAGGATACTGGTAGATAGGTCGTCGAAGGTCTTCCACGTAGATTGTAACCCTGGTTGTCGTTGGGACTGACCCCAAAGACTCCAGTTACTGGTGTCTTGTATGAGGATATTGCTACTGGGGATGCTGTAGAGGATACGTAGTTGCCTGTCAAGCCAGGTCCATTTAATCCTAAGCCCTTGTCAGTTTCAAGGTCAACGTAGATTTCGGATTCATCATAATTGGCCAGGTCCACGGGACCGTTCGAGGATGGGATACGTAGAGATTTTCTTCCGGGACCACGAAGATTGGCGTAGGGATCTTCCTTGCACGTGCATTGTGCCCCGATCTTGCCAAGAAGAAGAGGATGCAGATCGCTCAGCTTCACGATGATCTTGCCTTTGGCCGCAGCTGGTGATTTAGCTGTTGCCACCTCGTAGAGTGGAGTAGTTGAATATCCCGTACTGTAACCACCGGATATTGTTGTGACTGATGGCGTCACTGTTTTCCGATATGGTATCACTGTACTGGATACGTACTGCCCATTGTATTCTTCGCTGGAATAAGATGGCGTGCTGGAAACTGGTCCAGATGTTACGTACTTGGGACCAGCATCGCCGGTATAGATGTCGTAGACGTTTGGAGTGTACTTCACGTTTCCACGTGCCTCGTAATTGGTAACCAGTTTGTGGACCTCGTTTCTTGGAATTTCAAGATTAGCCGGAGATCCACCAGCGATTTCTGATACTGTACCAATTGGTTGTACATTTTGTGATACTGTATAGGAAGCTGGAGTTGTGCTAACAAATTGGACAGATGGTCTTGAATAGCTGTAACCTTGGGAAACCGTTGCCGGTTTTACAGTTGACGAAACTTGAACAGTTGGTTGTTTGTAAGAAATACCAATTGGCTGGAATGGTTTTCTGTAAGTGACACCGATTGCTGGAGCGACAGTGCTTACTGGAACGTAGTGTACCTGGAATGACAATGGATGTTGCTGATTATTTTGACAGTTATGAAAAATATTTGCGAGGAGAGTTGGGATTGATCTTACCTGTTGCTGTGAGGTTACTGATGGCTGCTCGTACGTCACTGTAACTGGTGCGGATGTGCTAACTGGTATTTTTGTCAGCAATGGTCTTCTGGGTCTGTTGTAAACGTATCCGGTGCTGACAGCTGGTGCGGCTGTTGTTACGGCAATGTATTCCTTATCGCCCGTATAGCCTTGTTGCTGGTATGACAGATCGACTTCAACTTCAGGGTGAACAGTTGGCAATGTACCAGTTTGGAATCTGCTATCTTTGTACGTGAATTTACCAGTGTTGACAACATTTTTGACTGGAAGTACTGTGGGTGACACAATTGTTTTGTATCCGTTGTCAACAACTGGTTGTACAGTCGAAATGACAGTCGGTACTTTGGCAGCTTGGTAGATTGTACTCTTGAAGTTCTCCAAGGGACCAGTTGTGTATCCCACTGGTATCACAGTTGGTGTTGGATATTTCCTAATGTTCGACGGTCTGCTGCCAAAACTGACAGAGGAAACTGTTGGACCAGTTGGAACTTTGGCAGCTTGATAAAGAGTCTCTTGATATTGTACGTTAGTTGGTTTTCTATAACTGTACGTATTGACAACTGCTGGTGCAGCTGTGATTGGTGCGGATGTGACAACTGAAGGAGTATTGTAAACCTCAATATTCAGCTGGGGCGCTGGTGTCGTAACAGCTACAGGAATTTCTGCATAGGTCGAGGAAATTGGAGAAACCGTGGAACCAATTGGTCTTCTGCTGTTGAATTGTACAGTTGGTTTTGCATATGAGTATCCTGATGATGCTCCAGATTTGGTCGTTCCCAATGTGATCCTAGATGCGTCAATATGACTTACGTCAATTCCGGGTGTTGATGAGACATAGACTTCCGGTGTAACAGTTGAAGTGACGTATGCCAAATTGTTGACGTCAGTAGCAACAGTTGATCCGCTATAACCTGTATTGCCTTCAAAGGCCTTGGCTCCGATATTCTCAAGATTTGGTCTAGGACGTGGTCTTCCGGTAGCTGCTACGTAACTGGCACTGCCACCTAGTTGGGCGGTGGTAATACCAGTTTTCGTACTTCCGGTCTTAGTGAAACCTCCTTGAGTATAAGAACCACCAGTCTTAAGTTTGGTACCGTACCCATTAACTCCTGCCAATGTAGTACCCAGAATGACTCCTCCACTTCCGTCTACTCTACCGCCCGAAACCACAGAATCTGGAAGTGATCCATAAGCTGGTCTATAATCCGGAAGATCAGTTTCCGAATATTTACTAGTGATGTAGCCATTATTTAATCTGATAGTACCACGTCCGCCGTTATCATGGTACTCATTGGTCTTGTAACCGGTGTCAGTGAACTGACTTCCACCTTTGGTGCTACCACTGAACAGATTACCATTACCAGAAGTTCCAGTCTTTCCATGATAAGTTGTAGTGCTACTTCCGGTATATCCCGATCCTCTGTTTCCATGATACGTGGTGGTACCAGCTCCCGTGTAAATGGATCCAGTTCCGGAGGATCCAGTGTTTCCTTGATAAGTACTACTTCCGGTATAATGGCTTCCTGTAGAGTCTCCGATAACAACACCAGGCTGCACTGTACCACCCAAGATAACTCCAGGTGCAGTTTGTCCGGTTAGAAGAACTCCGTGAGATGAGTCGCCCTTGATGATAGTTCCTGGAGCAGATGTTCCTGTGATAAGGACACCAGGAGCAGTGGTTCCATGAACGATTGTTCCAGGAGATGAGGATCCAATATAAGTTTCCTTGACTCCACCGCTGATGACGTATCCAGGTGTACCGGAACTGGTCTCAACGTAACCCGGAGTCACTGATCCAGCAATGATGGTTCCCTGTTTCTGAGATCCTCCCAGGATCGTGCCAGCAACATCTCCATGAGTCAAAAGAGTTCCTGAATTGGAAGCATCGGTAGCAATCGCTCCATGGATATTGTCACCAGTGACGATGGTACCAGTGTAACCACCGGAACCAGCGTTGCCATAATAAGTTGTAGTTCCCACAGGGGTCACTCCCTTTCCGAAGAGACTAGAGTGGTCCGATGATCCTGCTCCAATGACGTAAGTTCCAGGTGACCCAGCGTTGCCATAGTAGGTAGTACCTCCTGCAGGATATCGTACACCACTAGTGGTTCCTCCTACAAGATAAGGTCCTTGGGATCCTGTATTTCCGTAGAAAGTGCTAGTCTTTCCGGTTGACAATTTAACCCCATGAGAAGATCCGTCATCCACTACATATCCTCCTGCGTTGTCGCTGGTAATGGCACCGTGAGCTCCTGTTGATCCTCCAAGAACGTAGCCACCATCGGATCCAGTGTTACCATGATAAACTGTAGATCCTCCGAAAGATCCTCTACCAGGAGATGAACCATGAGATCCTGTGTTGCCGTGGTAAGTTGTGGTACTTGTGGAAATCACGCCGTGTCCTCTGGTTGCGCCGGTTCCTGTGGAACCACTGTAACCAGTCGATTCTCCTCCGTGTCCTGCTAGGATTCCAGTGGAACCGATTCCATGGGAACCGTCGTAGACTGTGCTAAGGCCGGATCCGTCATAGCCAGTCGATCCAGCGTATCCTGATCCTGATGATCCATCGTATCCGGATCCAGTTGCGCCTGTATATCCTGAACCTGTGGCACCACTGTATCCTGTGCCTGCAGATCCGGAATATCCTACACCGGATGCTCCAGTGTATCCTGCACCTGAGGAACCTGAATATGTTGAACCGGAACTATCGGCACCAGTTGCTCCTGAGTATCCAGCACCTATGGTATGTCCTGCACCGGTAGTGCTTGAATATCCTACACCTGCAGAGTTTCCGGCACTATTCGATCCGGAATATCCTGCTCCTCCGATATTTCCTGAACCAGTAGAATGTCCTTCGAATCCGGATCCAGTATATCCTGCACCGGTGGAGTGTCCTGCACCAGTAGATCCCGAATATCCTCCTCCTGTAGAGTGCCCTGCACCGGCTCCTTCATATCCTGCTCCCGTAGAAAAGCCAGAGCTACCGGGATAGACATTTCCAGACGTTCCAGAATGACCTGCTCCAGCCAATTCAGTATATCCTCCTTGTCCTCCTGATCCAAAATGTCCAGAGCCAGCGCTTGTTGTATATCCTGAACCTGAACCGGTTCCAGCTCCAGAATGTCCTGCGCCATCAATTCCTGAATATCCTATTCCTGCTCCTGTCCCAGAATGACCTGCACCTACTGCTTCAGTATAGCCTGAACCAGATCCAACTCCTGCGTATCCTATATCAGATCCTGCTCCAGAGTGTCCAGCGCCACCAATTCCTGAATATCCTACTCCTGCTCCTACTCCCGAATGACTTGCACCTCCTGCTCCAGAATAACCAGAACCAGATCCAGCTCCAGAATTTCCTGAACCAGCGCTTCCTGCATATCCTATACCAGATCCTGCTCCAGCGTGTCCTGCGCCACCAATTCCTGAATATCCTATTCCTGCTCCTGCTCCAGAATGACTTGCACCTCCTGCTCCAGAATAACCAGAACCAGATCCAGCTCCAGAATTTCCTGAACCAGCGCTTCCTGCATATCCTATACCAGATCCTGCTCCAGCGTGTCCTGCGCCACCAATTCCTGAATATCCTATTCCTGCTCCTGCTCCAGAATGACTTGCACCTCCTGCTCCAGAATAACCAGAACCAGATCCAGCTCCAGAATTTCCTGAACCAGCGCCTCCTCCATATCCTATACCAGATCCTGCTCCAGAGTGTCCTGCGCCACTAATTCCTGAATATCCTATTCCTGCTCCTGCGCCAGAATGACTTGCACCTCCTGCTCCAGAATAACCAGAACCAGATCCAGCTCCAGAATTTCCTGAACCAGCGCCTCCTGCATATCCTATACCAGATCCTGCTCCAGAGTGTCCTGCGCCACCAATTCCTGAATATCCTATTCCTGCTCCAGAATAGCCAGAACCAGATCCAGCTCCAGAATGTCCTGAACCACCAATTCCGGAATATCCAATTCCAGCTCCTGCTCCGGAGTGTCCGGCATCACCAGCTCCTGAATATCCACTTCCTGGCCCCGCTCCAGAATGTGCTGAACCATCAGCACCTCCATATCCTGCACCAGCACCGCCGGCATATCCTGTTCCGGCTCCAGAGTGTCCCGATCCTGCGCCACCCGAATATCCTGGACCTGCACCAGCACCAGCCCCATTTCCTTCGCCAATTCCTCCATATCCTATACCAGATCCAGCACCACCGGCACCAGAATATCCGGAACCGCCTGCATATCCAGCACCAGATCCACCATATTCAGTTCTGGAGTATCCAGAAACACCGCAACCAGGAACAAGCCAAGGCCATTCGCAGATCAATTTCTCTTCATCAAACACCAATCCAAATGGACAACGGAATTCATAAGCAGTCAATTCAGGTCCACCTGTAATACAAAATAATACAAAATTGTTATTGAAGATCTCAACCATAAACGGTATCGGGATCAAAAGATAGAATCTTACCAAGATCGAAACAGGCAAAGAACCATCTGCAATTTTGTCGATCGGCATAGTATCCAGGCTGAGCAGGACACTGGAATTTCGCTTGAGGAACCGGTGCAATTTCACTACTTCCTGGACAAGGTGATCCCTCAGAAAGAGATCCCGGCCAGACGCAAACTTCAGTACGCTCGTCAAAAGCCAACCCAGCGGGACAATCAAATTCAAAAACAGAATAATCGTCAATCCCTTGATTGAACTTGACGCAACGATAAAACCGATTGCAACTTTTTGGATGCACAAAATATCCTTGTCTGGTGCACGAAAATTCCGTTTGCGTATTTTCGCGAATGGCGTGAATATGTCCTTCCGTATCAACCACACGAACAATCCTGAATCCCGATGACTTCACGTGGGACGTGTACGGCATCTGAGCATGCTGCAACAGGCAAGAAGTTAACGATAAAAAATCTTCCCCCCAGGTAACAAAAATACCAATCTTATCTCTATCAATAATCTCTAACACACAGGGTCGCCATCTATCGATATTTCCCAATACCCAACGATTTTTATTCAGAAGATAACATTACCGACTGACGGTAAAAAGAATCACAAAATAACCATTTAGTAAAATAAGTCATTATTACGTGAAGATCATTTTCCAAAGAAGATAACACAGCTGCTCTAGTTTTCCTCTTCATATCAGTAAACGAATGATAAACTTCGTGAGTGAGAGGTTTTCCACAATGACTTTTCAAGTCATGTTCAACATCATGAATTCCAAGACCAGCAAGTTCACGAAGTAAGGCATACTTTCCCTAAAAATAATAAATTGAAAAAAAAATTACACCCATTATCAAAAAGTTCAAAAAAAAATTTGTTCAAAGTACAGTCACGTACTTTAATACCAGCAGAAATTTTATCCTCGAACGCGATCCACGTGTCGTCCTTGAATGCATAAGGGGCAGTGAGATCCTCGTCTCTCTCTACAGTCCATTCACCCTCGCTCATCAATTCGCAAAGCTGTAACAAGCGTCGAGGAATTATGAAAGATTATTAATTACATCATTAACCAAAGCACGTGGCACGAGGAACAAGTCCCAGATAAAACCAGCAGGTCCGTTAGGTAAGCCAAGACTGCCTATCGCGCACAGATAAGTCATACAGCGTCAGGGCCCAAGTTGTCAATTCATCTCCCACCTTGACTAGCCGACCTCAACATTGGGTCTGCCAGGGTCCCAAATCAGCCATCCTTAATCCACTACTTAAAAACTGTGCCACTGGGTATACTTAGTCAAAAGTTCACCCAATGACTAATAGCGTCTGGTCATTCTTGGATTCATTACTCCCAAGGTGATCTGGACGTTGGTCCAGACTGAGACCACGTGTCAGGATCATATAAGATGTCTGAACGTTTTCAAAATCAAATTTTAGACACGCGCATCGTGAACCATATTTAATTTCAGTATCGTTACAGCCACTTACTTCCTTTCGACTCAAAACAGCAGGAGCCTCCTCGGTGGTCGCTGATCTGGGTGTGTTCTCTTTTTTGTCTTTTAAGGTAAATTTATAGGCAGCTGCTGGTAACGACACCAGGATCTTTTTCTTTGGCGCACCTAGACCACTTATCAGGTCCACCAGACTATCGGTATTCAGCATATCAAAAAGACCCATTAATCGGGATGGGTGAAAGGTGCTGAATGACTCTTCATCATCCACCAGATAGTGACTGGAGAGAGTGAACAGGTCGACGTATCTGAAATGAAAGTACAAATTTTTGAATCAACCAATTTTTCATCAATTTCATAACCTGGATGGAAAAATCGTATATCTATACAGGGTGCGGCATTTTTTTTTTTAATTATCAGTCAACTGGTTCAGCAGGTGATTACAGCATTTCTAGCGGGACTGGATGCGTAACTGGCTCAAGGATAGGAGGATCTAGCGAACCAACCATCTTTTTTTTTTCCCATAAATCGCATCGACGTTTTCAGATTTTCTTGATGCTTTTCTCATTTATATCGTTGCGTAAGAATCTCATGCTCGAGGTGTTGTACAATTTTTTTTTTTTCATTTTTATTAAATTGAAATTTAATTAAAGTAAGGTATGTCTTCGGGTTTTAATGTAAATTTGTTTACATACTTTGATAATGACTTTACGTCGTATTGCTTTGCTAGGTTCTCGGGTTTGGTTGGTAATGCAAGTAAAATTCGCTTCTCGTTCTTCTTCCTGATCATCTCGTCCTTGAGTCCCTTCACGAAGTCGGTCAGACGTTCTTTGGATCCTGCTGTCATGTCCAATTCGATACCGTCGACCTATAATAATTATGGAAAAAATATATATATACATATATATTAGGAAAAAAAATAATTTCACGCATCTTATACTCGGTGACGTGATTTTTCAATTCACGGTCACAAGGCGACTCCAATGACTTTACGTCGTATTGCTTTGCTAGGTTCTCGGGTTTGGTTGGTAATGCAAGTAAAATTCGCTTCTCGTTCTTCTTCCTGATCATCTCGTCCTTGAGTCCCTTCACGAAGTCGGTCAGACGTTCTTTGGATCCTGCTGTCATGTCCAATTCGATACCGTCGACCTATAATAATTATGGAAAAAATATATATATACATATATATTAGGAAAAAAAATAATTTCACGCATCTTATACTCGGTGACGTGATTTTTCAATTCACGGTCACAAGGCGACTCCAAGCACGGGTGAGATACCGGCGCCCCGCTGGAGATGGGCAAAGGGCTGTAGAGCGGGCGGAGGTAGTTTTGATACGGTTAAGGGCAGAGGAGGAACCCCCTGACCCGAGTTGAGGACGTGGTGCCCAGCTGTCGCCCGATGCCCTGGGGAAGCGGCCGTGGAGGATCTCCAAAAGTTACGTACCGATTCGCTAAGGAACGCTCTCGATTTGGTTTAAAGGGACGACTCGAGGGAAAGGAAGAATTATCGGCTATAAGTATCTCGACCAATCAAATGATCAGAATGATTAGTTCTCGAATTTGACTGTTGTCAAAACAGTCTGTCTCGGGGCACCGACCGAGGTGTCACGTGCTGGCTCGCGCTCCCGTGCTATTTGTTGATAGTTTTTCTAACCGCGTTTCAATACCGTATAGCAAGTTTTCGTTCGTACAGTTTTCGCGTTGCTCTCGCGAAATCCAAGAAGTTCTATGGATTTTCTGTGAGTGTTCCGGAGGTGTAGTGTCGTGTCCTAGTGCAGTGCCCACCCGAGTGTCTCCTGGATGCGATTCTCGGCCTTCACGGATCAGCTGCACCAGCTCCGGTGAGTCTCCCAATTTATTAATTGGTGAAGGGATTTCGATTTGACACGTCCGATTCGTTCTGTTACTCCGCTCCCGTTCGCGCACCCAGTTGCGTTCGCTGATTTCACGCGACCCCAAAGATCAGCACCTACGGTTGCGTTTCTCGATTTTACGCGTCCCCAAAAATCTACAGGATCCGTTAAGTTGTCGCACTGTCCGATAGGTTCCGTCAGATCTCTCGTTTCGGTGGAATTGGGCCTGTTCCACCCCAACTCCCGGGTCATACCGGCTCGTCAGTTCCCGGTGAAAAAAGAATTGGCTGGCGCCCGCCTGGCTTGCGGATGCACGAACGGTGGACGGCCGAAGGTAACGTAGGTTAATTGTCGGATTTTTCACTATTAGTGTCGAGTTAAGATAATACTTTACAATATATAAAGAAAATAATTTAACGCATCTTAAACTTATAACTTAATTATGCAGATTTCGCAAAAGTCAATATCATACGATAAACGAGAATGAAAGTACATATCAATTATTTCAAATAAGGCTACGAAAAGTTTAATAGAAAATTATTTAATTTACACAAATGATCCAGCCGTGACTTCCGTTAACAATTAACTCTCACGTTTTACTAACAAATATGGTTAACCAAGAGAAAAGTGATACAAGATAACCCATTGATCTTCGCTCAAGAAAGAAAGCAAAGGCATTCACTCCTATCGCGGGTGAATCATTACGGGTACAGTGCATTGACCATAACTTTCATTTTCACATAAAACAACCAGACGACGATTCTGTCCCGTCGATTATAAAAGTCTGCAAATTCTTTTTTAACAAGCGGAAATGACGTCACCGACACAACAAAATCATAATCAATCGTTACTCGTTTTTTTTTTACTGTCTTACCTCATTCAGGATCCTCGCGAATCTCGCTACGGATTCTTGTCGTCCCTTACCGGAAGTCTTGAGCGAACCACGAGGATCGTTAAGGGAAACGACAAGCTGAAGTACTGGATTGACTTCCTTCAAGGACTTCCGGAAATCTTTGATTCCTGAAATAACAAAAAATTATTCCGGTATTAATTATTAATTTTTTCACAAAATCCTTCATCATCGTCAGACTATAATTCAACATTATTTGGGACTGATAAAATTAGGAGAAATAAAATCTGAGAGACCAGTGACGTCACGCCTGGATCCCGGGGTCAAATGTCACGGCAAAAGTGAACGTACGTCGTCGTCAGGAATTCAATGACTAGCAATCAGGAAGAAAAATGTGAATCGAGTGTAAAGTCGAAAATAAATAATTCGATTAAATCCTATAATGAGAGCGTGACCAATTACCGATCGATAATCAATAATCAATGGATCGATCGATACCTGAACTACACTGTGCCTATTGTGCCGAGCAAAGATACATAATAATAAAATCCACAGAAACTACAAAGCGAAGTATTATAAATTTTGATAAAATCCAAACGCCATTCGAAATTTGAAAGTCTCATTGTTCCCGCGCTAAAAAATCGGTTCTTAACGATTCTTTAAGATCCCGAAGTATATGTCAGGGTCGGTATGGTGATATAATTGAATTAGGGGGTCAGGTGGGTCTGGGGGGAGGTGAGGTTGACCCAGGACCTGGACTTATGAGATATTACATTGTGAAATGAATTATTGAGTACGTATCGGTATCTGCCAATATGTTCAATGACAGATCATTATCGATAAGTATCGATCAGAAGATGGTCGTACGAATTTGAAAATTCGGGGGTCCATTGAATTGGGAGATCGTGCTATTTTTTTTTATAGTGTTATATATGATTGCTGGTGAATCGTATATGTATATTGATTGCATCCTGCTTGAATCTTCAATTTCGTTAGATCAAAGGTCTTCGTTCTTTTGTTCCAGTCGGATGTTAAGGTCGATCAGACTATATGGATACGGCTGTGCGATTATTTATTGGCTTTCAACAGTTGCTGTATATATATATGTAGAGAGAGAGAGAGAGAGACGATGAAGAATCGTGTCCCCTTTATCATGAAAAATTGGGCCGGTCGATCTAGGACCATAAAAGATCCCAACTGACCCAGATAAAGGCGCACACGCGATTCTCCGAGGTCGCCAGCGACAGAATCGACTATTGGCATACCCATGGTAGCTACGTGTTAAAAAGACTTGCGAAATTTTGTCCTCTGCCACCCACTGTACTCATGGTATTGTGCTGGACCAGTTACAGCATCCCGGATATCGAAGTTAAGTCTGGATGAAAGAAATGGACCCGGGTCCAATCTGTGAAGATCTGAAAAAGGGTGTGTCATATGGGATTTCAATGTAATGAAGATTAATTATTTTTTGTAATTTTTAAGAATTACGTAACATCTCAAAATTTTTTTAATTTCATCCCATATGATTTTATCCATACGTGGTTAACACACGTGTGATTGGCTTTGATGTTTGTTAGGTCGAAAGGACTTTCGCCGATCAAGTTCAATGATCTTCGCATTGGTCCATTATGGTGACGGATAAGTGATCTTGAAAAAAAAATTTTATTGACTGAAAGTTTTCAAGGATCGAAATTATTCGAGTGTTAAATCCATAATAGTTTGTCAGGACAATTTCTATTAAGAAATTTCTCCATAAACTTTCACGGTCCTTGAGGCACTTTTTTTTTTGGAAATGAAAAAAAAATCACCTTGATATACGTTTTTGGACCAGATTCGCAATTCGGTTGGAAGGTCATGATCTGGTGAGAAAGTAGATTTGGAAAGGAATATTTACATCCGTTAACAATTAATATGCTAATAACATCCTGATTAAGAAGAAATTATCGCAAGGGTCCATTCATCTTAGACCGAGAGAAAGATCATAACGTCGGGGATAAAGATGAAAAAAGAAATATATATATCAATCACTTCCCCTGACGTCGGAAAGTAAAAGTAGAGGAGAAAGAAAAAATGATTAAAAAGTATTATCTTTTTCGTTGCGTAACTATACGGCTCATTTCTTATTCAAAACTGTACCTACACCGGGTACAGTCTTATCTATATGAATTTATCTCGAGAAGTTATCTCGAATGAACCCGTGAACACGTGCTGTCGAAAACGAAAGTGTTCCATTAAGTATTACCATTGATACTGTTCAAATTGGATATGAATATTCATATGTAGATATACACATATATTTAACTAATAAATATTCATCGATTAAAAAAAAAATTATTGATCTCACGACTGACCAAATTTTTTTGGGAGAAATTAAAAAAAAAATTCAAAAATTTATACTTGTAAAAATTAAATGATCCTTACAGTGATCGATGAACAGGATGACTGATTGAAAAAAAAATCCGTCAAAAAAAAGTTCGCATCATCGCATGCGGTAATTTAGATGAATTATTTATAACGCATGTGGCCTGTAAGTACGTAAGCAGCTAATTGCATACGTAATCTTCTTGTTGCATTTTGCAACGATGCACTTTGCATGCACTTGTATGTTACTGGACTAGATTCCATATGCGATATACATATACGTAAATAGACGAGAATCTCAAATGTCACAGTAATCGAATATCAGTGGGGCAAGTGCAAGGATGTATCTTTGGATGCGGGGTACAGATGATGCATTTTAATATACAAAAATCGATAAAGTCATTTTGCTAATTGCGTACGTAATCTCCTTGTTGCATTTTGCACCGATGCACTTTGCATGCAGTTGTATGTTACTGGACTATATTCCATATGCGATATACATATACGTAAATAGACGAGAATCTCAAATGTCACAGTAATCGAATATCAGTGGGGCAAGTGCAAGGATGTATCTTTGGATGCGGGGTACAGATGATGCATTTTAATATACAAAAATCGATAAAGTCATTTTGCTAATTGCGTACGTAATCTCCTTGTTGCATTTTGCACCGATGCACTTTGCATGCAGTTGTATGTTACTGGACTATATTCCATATGCGATATACATATACGTAAATAGACGAGAATCTCAAATGTCACAGGAATCGAATATCAGTGGGGCAAGTGCAAGGATGTATCTTTGGATGCGGGGTACAGATGATGCATTTTAATATACAAAAATTGATAAAGTCATTTTGCTAATTGCGTACGTAATCTCCTTGTTGCATTTTGCACCGATGCACTTTGCATGCAGTTGTATGTTACTGGACTATATTCCATATGCGATATACATATACGTAAATAGACGAGAATCTCAAATGTCACAGGAATCGAATATCAGTGGGGCAAGTGCAAGGATGTATCTTTGGATGCGGGGTACAGATGATGCATTTTAATATACAAAAATTGATAAAGTCATTTTGCTAATTGCGTACGTAATCTCCTTGTTGCATTTTGCACCGATGCACTTTGCATGCAGTTGTATGTTACTGGACTATATTCCATATGCGATATACATATACGTAAATAGACGAGAATCTCAAATGTCACAGGAATCGAATATCAGTGGGGCAAGTGCAAGAATGCATCTTTGGATGCTGGATACAGATGATGCATTTTAATATGCAAAAATTGATAAACTGATCTTGGCAAAATAATTTTGAAAAATTAATCATCGATATAACAGCTTACCAGTTGAAGATAGATTATGAAGATTGTGACCCTGCTGGACCAGTGTGGTGCATCTGCATATGGTCTCGCTGAGCAGATCAATATCAGTGGTCGACGTGTAGCAAAGGATCTCGCGTCCAGGTGAAGTCTTTTGTTTGGGACATTCTGAAAAAAATGTTCCATTTAAAAAAATTTACCAAACTCGAGATAAGGATTGACGATCTTCAAGCCGGAGGCTGCAGCTGGTCCAGCCGTACGATAGCTGAGATCATCTTCACGTAAGCGTGTCTATAATAATCGTTTACATAGTCGCGTAAACTTGTTGTCCCGCGAACAAAAAATGGCTGATATGAAAAATATTACAGCTGCAGTTATAAATAATTATTTTTGCTTTATAGTTATCAATGATTTAGAACCTTTAGATCCTTGATGACTGCATCAGTACGAATGATTAATAATTGGATACATCTTGCGATTCGTTCGGATTGTTCAAATAATTAAATGATGAAAATTTTCGAAAAAAATTTAAAAAATTATTCACGTCCCGCGAGGATAAATTTTTGTTACATCTTTCAAGGAATTCTGAGAATTCTCTGGCTATGGCGTTCGATTGCCAATCTTTAATGGGTTAAGATCATCGAAGGATGCTGGCAATTAGATGATTCATCAAATAGTGCAAATTCGGTATTGTTTCCCAGCTATGACGAATCTGCACAAGCTTAGAATTAATTGTCAAGACGTAAATGGTACCGTCCTTGTATATATATATATATACACGCTCCTGCTCCAGTTGCCGATTTCGCAATTTAACCTTAAGGAACGCACCGTAGCGCTCTCGATACAGAGACAGAGATCGTAAAGATCATTGGACCACTTTTCATTTCAGTGAGGCTGCGAGAGCTGTCAATTCAGTCTGAACACAGGTAGCATGTAATTGAGATTTTGCGAGGTATTAAGCTACAGTATATTTGGAATAAAAAAAAACAAAAAAAATCAAAATTACGATTATATGTTATAAATCATGGATCTATTTTTATCGATATCGATCAGCTAATACATAACCTCAAAGTACATCAATAACGTCAAAACCCATAAAATCGATAAATTACCTCGACAATTTTTTTTATCGATCGATACCGATTTATAGATCATCGACAAACGACGGATATAGTAATACACAAGATACACGATAGACAAGGAGAAATACGATTATAAAGAAAGAAAAAAGAAAAAAAAACCCATAAAATTCACTGCACGTAAAGATGCCAGAAGACGAGAAAGACACTTATGGCAAGTATAGTAAAAAGAAAAAAGAACTAGAAATATTTTCTCACAGCAACGGCAACTTTTCTATAAATATTAAATATCCAATAAATCGATCGAGTTACTAAATTCCATCGAAAAAAAAAAACGTAACAAGATAATTATTAAAAAAAAAAAATAATACAAACTTACTCGCAGCAATTCCAAGCGTCAGCAACCCCAAAAGGGGTAAGAGCCCGAGTAGCCCCATTTTCGTATCACAATTTCCGTCCCTGGTATTATTCTTTATCGTCAATTGAAAAAAAAAGTTGCGATTTCCGATTTAGCCAATTAAAAATTTTTTTTTTCCAAAATTCGACGATTTAGCAACCGAGTACACGAGCTCGTAACAAACTGTCAGGCTGGTTCGCTTGTCTGCACATCGAAATTATTATTGAAAAAAAAAAAGTCAAAAATCGAAAGTGAACCGTACGAGCGATCGTCATGAACTGAAGGTGAAATTCGTCCGAAAGAAACTTTATGCGAAGGAGGCGCGATAGTTGGTGAACGCGAACGCAAAAAGCGGTTCTAAGGGGGTCCGGCCGATGTACCGTAGAATATATAGAAAAGTCTTCTCGAGCAATGTGGAAGAAGGTATTTTTTTTCCTCTCCTATTTTCGATGGGTAGGTGGTGGGGGGAGGGAGGGTTGTAGGAGAGACACAAAAGGCACCTTCGTCTTTGAGTGCACGATTGGGACTGAACCTTTGGTGGATCTGGTCTCTCCTAGTAAAGTAAGGCCCAGTGAGTGAAGCCCCAGGTGAAGTGGCGAGAGTCAAAGTTACGTTGGTTAAGCGAGAGGTAGTGGACAGCAGGGGGACCAAGAGACATCTGGGACCAATAAGGCCCAGAGGGTGGGGTGCCTTCTGCCCCAGATAGGGAAAACTTTCCTTGTAGACGGAAATATATATATATATATATATACACACGAGGCCCCTAAATATAATCGATTGGATTGAAAAAAAAAATATCAATCAATTTCAATAAAATTCGATCCACGCTTATAGCTCGACACTTTTATTTTTAACACTGCACTTTTTTTTATGTAAAAAATTGTTTTCATACATTCACTTTTAGGTAAATTTTCTATTTGTTTTTGAAATTATTGATTATCGATCGATATATCGATATGTGAAAGCTTTGATAAATCCATCACCTCTGGACCACCTACGTATCCCGACTGCGAGTCTATCTGACTGCTGGCATTAAAATACACATGGCAATCGTGCATGTGTTTTACCTATATGCCTTGGTAATAATTTACTTTAGGATAATCGCTGCTATGCTAATCGCCGATGATCACAACAGTGTAAAGGCGCGGTTACGCGGAGAATGATCGGAAAAATGTAGTCATTTTTGAGTTTAAAAAAATATTTTGAGTAAATGAAAATTATTTCATCGATGACTGTATTAAATATGCATTTGATAGATTATATCGATCGATAATGAAAATCCGACTGATTATTGAAAGTGAGACTGGCCAAAGTGCTAAGATGAATCATCATGATCATCATAATGACTATCATCCTCTAAGGTCAACTATCAGTCTCTCTTTCGCATTCTAACCATTAAGGATGCTGCTGCTGCCAATAATCAGCTGCCACGCTGATGATCTCTGGTAGTTACGTCACTCTCGAGAATATAACCAACACTTGGATTTCTATGGTATCGGCCTGCGATCGGTATTGATTGCGAGGAATAATCATCAGGCGTAATAGGTGTCGTATAGGTAAGGTCATGTTTGACAGGGGATAAGATCCAAAATGATCTATTCATACTTAATGATAGAATCCGTCGTTTATAGTATTTCATAATATTATGATTATCGAAAATCGGCAGACAGAATCGTTTTACGATAACTTCACGAATTTGACGGGTTGATAGGTGTCTGATGAGATTGCGAAATGTTTTTCAAAAACTGAAAAAAAAACTTCAAAAAAAAAAATTTGATTTTTCGAAACTTGTCCTATGTTATATATGGCTCATCCGAACGTCACGTGACTTCGGATCGATAGGGATTTTCTCGGACAGGATACGTTTTATAGATACCTAAACTTGGGATCGATAGTTAACGATCGGAAGAGGATCGTGATCTTGGAAGATCTACGTAAGATCTTACTGACCTTCGATTTAGAATCGATCCAAAGTAGCAATTAGTCGAAACCTCCGAGGCACGACTGATCAATCAGGATCTATGGACTGACTGATGGTTTGAATATCTCAATCATTACAGACAATAGATCTACGATGCTTGTATCGAATTTGATTCCGAAATTTTTTTTTCTGATTTTTCGATCGAGATCAATCATAGGTTCTCTTGACAACTATAGATCATTATATCAATACATATATAAGTATATATCGCCCGAGATGAATTTCTTTTCCATTTCACTTCATCCACCACTCCGTTTACAAGTCCCAAATCTTAACTCAGCAATCACCGGGTCCAAAAAATGCCCCAGCTTCCGGATCCATAAATTAAATTCCTCAAGTTTGTTAACTCTTTTTTTTTTCCTTCAGCCTTCCTCCCGTTTTACATGTCCATCCGAATCGACATTGGTTGAAAAAAAAATTGTAGCAAAGAGAAAGCGAACTGAGCGTCTCACACGAGTGTCTCTGTTCGTTTGGGCCCGTTCGTACAGTCATACGTACTTGGGTACGTTGCTTCTTCCTGGGTCCAGACAGCCACCGGCAGACCCATTCGTATTACGGTAGATCGCCTTTTACGCGACTTCACGGAAATTCATCTTACGTAATTTCGCTTGACAGTGCTTATGAAAAAAAAAAAAAAAAAAATTACTTACGTTTCATCCTATACATACCTCCCATCATTAAATCGCTATATGCCCAATCATTGATTATTATCCTCTACTTACCTTATTACTTCCTATACCTATACACCATTCGTCATAATAACCCTAACCGTTATCCCAGAATCCGGAGCCTCTTTTACGTATATACGTTGCTTCCAGTTATCCTTAAGTTTCTCAATGACTCTTAACCATTACGAAAAACGTCGGGCAGGCAATGAATTGTCTTTTAAATACAATTGTGACAAAAAAAGGGCCCCAAAAAAAAAAATTGACTTTTCACAACCCGACCATTACGGGCACTTAGGCTTGTCGCTGGAATTGCAATTATTTCTTTCGCAAGATAAAAATAAAAGGCTCGTTCGCTTCCTCCGAGTAGTTGCCCGTCTACGTGTCACACCCTATATTTCTTAAGCGATAATATTACAATTTTTACACGGCAATACGGTTGCATACGGGAATCGGCTATAGTGCCTTTTACAACGGTAGCAGGATCTTCCAGTCGGTAAGTAAGGGAACTGGAAAGAAAGATAAATAAAAATGTGTTCGGGGCGTGGCAACGGTACAATTTTTGCCCTGGTCGTTAAAACGGCTAGGAAATTATTTATGATTCATGTGACGTAAAATCTAATCGTATTTCAACTTGGGATTGCGTATCCTTGTATTAGGTGAGACTAAAAAATTAACGCGCATCCTTATTTTTGCGTTTGAAGCGAAGAATAAAAATAATACGACGGTTTAAGCGACGTGTGCGCTGAAATAATAATAATATAGTGTGTCTGGTAAGCCGACCTTTTATTTTTCACCTTCGTTCCTTTCTTGCTCTTGCAAACCGGGTGCGATCGAGACGTCCTCGTTGCGCAAGACGGACGAGCAACAAAGAAGACCTACAAGCAGATCAGCTACGGATATTTCGTATGGATATTCAGATTCTTGCGTAATTCTTATATCCCGGTATGATTCGTGCTCGTTAGATATTTTTATTATTATTGTCTCTGTCGCACTATATTTCTTAACATATGGATGAGATATATGCATATTTTTTCTTTCTTATATGCAAAAGAAGCTAAGAAGGTGAATTTTTCATTTTTTTAAATTTTTTTAATAATTTTTTTTACGTGCCATATCCAGCGAGTTTTCATGAAACGGAAGTGGGTCCGTTGTGTTTGTTCATTCGTTGAAGAAAGGCCGTTTGGTTCCTCGATACTGGGACGTAATGTAATATGCTATACGGGAATTATAGTTACTACAGGTCGATTCAGATTTGGATAATAATTTTTAGACAGATAACGGAACTACAGGCTGCTGTGACTTAAGATCGGATTTTTTTTTTTATATATTTTCTCGTTGATAAATTTTTTCCTGACTGTTATAGTAGGGTATCTGACGTCATTCAGGAAATTGGCGATCAGAGGCAGAGGGGGGATGTCAAATATGAAAAATAACTAGAGTTCGAAACGTCGGCGATTGGTTGTCGCTAGCGATTTATTCTCAACAATGCGACAAAAGGATTGACTTTCGCTGTCAGACAGGAATACCAGTCTACCATGCCTTCCCTTGGGTACCACCATCCTGGAGGAATATTTTTGAAATCATCGGCTAGGAATGGGGGTAAATTTTTTTTTGAATATCCGAAGGCGTTGAATATTAAATGAGAAAAAAGAAGCTTGACTCTATTTTTTTGCTCTTGCGTATTTGGAGAATCGAAATTAGAAATTCGCCCGTACGTTCATCGTATGTAATAAGGCGCATATAAAACGAACTACTTGTCAGATCGTTATCGAGCGTTAAAAGTCATCGGCCCGGACGCCTCGTACGTTGAAACGATCTACAGTAATTTTCAAAGCTACGACACGGCGGATACTCACTAAAGCGATTGGTTGCATCAGTAAGCGTCGCCCACATTCCGCTCGACCCAACCTGCGAGAAGCTTTAGAAAAGTTCTGAGAAATTTTCACTAGGCGTCGCGACGCCTTGCATCGCGTCATACTCACACCTGTAATAAAAAATTTTTTCAAAACGAACAATGGCGTCAATTAAAAAATTTTTTTTACACGGTCAATTCATATAGCGTTAAATGGTACAGGTGATGACTTGGGTCATGACTGAGTCATTCGAGTCACGATAATTGAGTCAATGATCTATATTTGGAAAATAATCAAGATCCACGAAATATGAGTAAAAATCGATCGTGATCGAGATTTTCGATCCATTTAATCCGACGGATTATTTTTTAATATTGGAAAGTAAAGTTGGGTTGCTTAATCTACGGGTCCCCCAACGCTAAAGCGTAATAAGTCTCGATGAATTTATTATGGTGCGGTAATTTCTATTTTACCTTCCTGGATGATTTGGATGACTGAAAAAAAATATTAATAATAAAAAATTATTATTGCTAATTCAAGCATAGTAGCGTGCAAATAATATGGCTACCAGATAATTCTTAATATCTTACACAGAGGGCACCCATCTATTAGTCCCACTGGGATACCCACTGTTAAACAGCCTCGAGGCAGGAGCGTACACGTATAACGCGGGGCCCCGGAGCGATGCTTTCCCTTTCTGCTGGGATCAGGGCGCAGCTTGTAATTTACGCTTAATTTTTCTACTGTCCATTTTGTGCTACAGGCACTCCCGAGAATTCCGTAGACACATTACATTTATTTGTCAGTCAGTATAATCTTGGTCAAAATGGCGAACGTATTTTGATTGGCCGTATATGTAACGTAGAAACTGATCCGTCAGCCATTTTTTTTTAAATCTCTCATTACAACCTCTCTTTCCCAGAACCCCAGCCTTACTTTCTTTCCTGATGATCTTTCCGGAGTCATCGATCATATTTAACGTATGAATATTCGAATTGTTCTATGACATTCGATGACTGTTTATTATGATTATTTTTCCTTCAAGCCATTCTTAATACCGTCTGCCATCTTATGCATGTATAATCATCTACTTGGAATCCCAAGTGTTTTACCCGGAACCTAAAGGACCTCTCAAATCTTACGAATGGGTTCACGTCCTTGGCCCCCTGTATGAATGCCCCTTTACGGACGTCATTTTAGAACTAATTATC